GCGTTGTCTCCGGAACTGCATCTACAATCCCCCATGTAACTTAATTTAAACCGACTGCTTTCTGTTTTCTTCGATTTAACCCACTCAGGCGTGTCAGCGGGCTTGAATGAAAGCATGAAGAGACAGGGGGACCACTCTTTGTTTGGCTAACTAAGTGGGCGAGTGCAGTCTGCACACAGTCTGATATGCTACTGTGTTGACAAAACTCAACACTGCTTCTTCTTTAACACAGAATAACGATTGCACAAATGTACACAGTGATCTGATTATTATTTTCTGGCAAGAAGATCATTTGAGCGGGAATAAAAGGCATGCTAAGTCTTATCTAGCTAACACTGCAAGTTGTTTGAATGCATGGTGTCCCGTGACTAACATTTGGTTAGCTACTCGGTCTTTTGCAGTACTGATGAACTGAGAAATACTGCAAATTTGAGTATAACTGCTGCTGTAGCTGCAACGTCTATCTGCAGCTTTCCTGTAAACATTTCCCTCTAAGTGTGTTATTAGTAACGTTACTGAGCGGATGGTTAGCTGGCTAACAGCGAGCTAGCTAAGCGATAAACAGCTCGGCTCAAGTAAAATTACAGTCTGTCTACCTTGTGGTGTGTTTTACACGTTTTTACTAAACGTGTACAAGCTGTTACTCATAACCAAAGTAAACGTTTGCACACATAGCTTAGTCCTCACCACAATTAGTTTCGTGTGGCTGAAGCTAACGAGGACATCAGCGCCCCATTGTGCCAGCGGGACTCAGGCCTTCATAGAAATCAATGGAGGAGCGGAGCAGCTAGCTTACCTTCTTGTAGTGCTTTCCAATCCAGAGCCGCACCGTCTCCAGTTGGGATATCGTCTCTGAACTTTCCCAGAATTTCGTGGATGGGCCACCGTCCTTTTTACGTCCCACTGCGGTTCCGCCACCGACCTGGCCGGTGGCCGGTCCGCCTGAGCCCGTTCCGCCTGCCGTTGTCGCCGCCGTCGCCATTGTGTGTTTTGTTCACTGCGTTGTCTTTCTCCTCCGCGGCGTCGCTCACCGTGCAAGTTTTCGAATGATATTGCGCAGCCGCAGACGCGTTGACACTTTTCAAGTCTCGCGAGTCTCGATATCATAGGGATTATGGGAAATGTAGGCTGTTGTAAATTAAAACTACTAAAGTATGTTAAATATAACCGTTTTATGCTTTTACACAACACATTCTTCTCTTTTTCGAAAGTGTTAAAAATATAACATGTAAAGTCTCACTTAAAATATTTGCTGACTCCTATGACAACTCCCTTTCTATTGGTTTACTCTTGAGTTATTTATCAATTGTTTTTATGTGCTGCTATTTTGTTGTTTGTTTGCTTGGCTGTAAACAGATGATTACATTTTTTTCCTCTGCCTCTTGCTATCATTAGCAGTGGTTGAAAAAACATTAAGTGCTTTAAAAGTAACTGTATAACAGAGTAAAAATAAGAGTAAACGTCCCTCATTTAAAATCTTACCTAAGTAAAAATAGCCTACAAAAGTATTGACTTGAAGTAGCAAAGTAAAAGCATTCGTTCTGCAGAAAAAATAGCCTAATGTATTATAGGCTAACCATTACTGATAGCCTACACTTACCTAAGATTCATTGTTATTAAGTTTGCTACATCTTTTTTTTCATATTCTCCTAAAAAAGCAAAATAAACAAAAAAAAACTCCTAACCAAGTAACAATAAATAAAAGAAAAAGAAACTCTGATTGTCATGTTTGGTTATTTATTCACATATGCATCATATTTTAAGCTCATTGCACAGTTTGTTTAGTTTTTAAAATCTTACTTTGTAAAGTAACTACAGCTGTCAAATAACTGCAGTGGGGTAAAACGAAATAAATCCTTCCGAAATGTAGTAGAGTGGAAGTACAGTACCATGTGGCATTAAATAGAAATACTCAAGTAAAGTAACTCAAAATTGCACTAAGGACGGTACCTGAGTAAATGTAATTAGTAACATGCCAACATAGTTTCACTGAAAGCTTTAATAAATATTTTTCACAATCTAAAGAAAAACAGTTACATATATGCTCTTGTTCTTTTTGAGACTGAAAAACAGCTTTTGAAGACCTGAGAATATTTGAAATGAGCAGGCTAACAAACCAAATGGAAACCCATACCTTGGAAACTTGAAACTTGTTAACATTGAACTTTATTTCAATCCTTTTATACTGAACGTATCACAGTCACTGACACACTTTATCTTATCACACCAGGTCATCATGCCTTTTATGAATCACTTGGCAGTGTATCCGTAATATTATTATTCTCTTATTTTACGGCTTTATCTCTGTGTTTATTAATCTATCCAGGAAGTACAAACAAAAGGTACCCTATAAAAGAAAAACAGACAATGAAAGTCCACGTTTACATAATTGCAATCTACATTTACCTAAAGTTACATAACCTGAAAAGATAATCATATTCCTTTGATTTACTCAACATGTTACAACAACGTTACATTTACTGTGTATGTCTGTGTGGGTGGGTCAAGATGGCGCCATCCTGTGGTGACACTGTGCAGCTTTGTTAGTTGGTGATGTTCGGTTTTCGTGCCTGTTCGGCTATGAACGGATTTAACTTTTGCGAGAAATAAAAGCCTGTTCATGAGCCGATACCAGGCTCTTCCTGGCATGAAAAAGCTTGTACCTCCAAGGCCAGGAGGTGGAGCAGGTTTACAACATCTCCTCTGCTCTGAGGTTGACTTCATGAGACAAACTTATATGTTCAAATTATCAAGAGAGGAGATTTCCAGTTATATCAGGCTGTGATCAAATCCATATTGACCTTTTCTGCACCAGTTTAAGACCACAGCCTAAGAGAAAAAGTAGTTGGAGAAAATGATGCTGTTTGAAGCCTCAAAAGTTGTTGGTACTGAGCTGCTCTTTCGCACTGAAAGACATGAGACTCAAACTCAGATGTGGACAGAAAAACCTGGCAATGTTGTTATTAAAATATACATACTTTGTTTTGGAGTCTGCATGTGCACACTAAACAATACACTGACAAATAAATAGCAACAAAAAATCAGAGGCGCACATAATAAAACCAACCATGTTTCTACCCTGCGAAACGTAGGCCCAAGCCCAATGGTTCCTACTAAAGATATGAATCTTTAAGTGGGTTATAAAAATAAATTGAATAAATAACCCAAAAACAGGAGTAATTTCTGCATTTGATGTGGAATATTTTCAGTCACAAATTGGTTCCCTGGGTCCTTCGGTTCCCAGGTTTCCCCCTCAAAACCCCAGGTTCATTGTGCTGCAATTGTTTTGCGGTAAGGATAACTTTAATTTTGTTCAGGGATATGGGAATACGTGACTAAAGCACACTATCAGTTGATATAAAGCAGGGGTGTCCAAACTTTTTTCAAAAAGGGCCAGATTTGATAATGTGAAGATGCCCGGGGGCCAATAGTCCATAAAACCATAAAACCATAACCATAAAAGTTACATGCAAATACACCGCAAATACACTTATGTTCACATTTCTGGAAACCTGCCTTTATCCAGCTGCCGGTAAAAGCCAACAAGAGAAAGCTGCTGGTGTGTGCCACGCCACTCGTATATATTATAATTCCCATTTCTCCTGAAAGCGGCGGCCCTCACTGTCAACTTTCCTCTTTTTACTTGCAGTCGCCATGGTAGAAATGAGCGGAGAAGGGTTCACACACAGAAAGGTTGCACAGCCAGATAGCATTACAGTGGTGCTGCCACCATGAGGTGAAAGGAGGAATTGCATTAAAAATTTTATGATTTATTTAACAGTGCCAGCGGGCTATAAATAATACATTATAAGACCGAAGCTGTGGGCTGTATGACATCTGACCAAAGTCCGACTTTGGACATGCCCGATATAAATGCTCTAAAGTGACTCTTGTTTTATCACCTGGGTTTCATCATCTATTCGTAAATCCACTAAGTTCTTATTTGAAACTAGTTAGTTTCAAACTTTGCTAAATCAGATTGCACCATTAAAACCTAAGAAATGTCTTAGCTCATAGAAAGCATCTGTAGCACTGTTTAATTAAAAGCAATCAACAGGATGTCACTGTAACATCACAGACTAGCATATGCAAACCGGTACAAGATTTATTCATTTAGTCTTAGTCAAATATTATTGCCATAACATTTCCTAATTTAAAGTATGTTTTGTTATTTTTGTGAAAAGTAATTAAACAAACATCATTATTAAACAGTATATATCAAGTTTCAAGTCAAATATGTTGCATATTAGCAAGCTAACGTTAGCTTTTAGGTTGGATTTAGTTAGCTACACAACAATTAGCCAAGACCTGCAGTTAGTTAGTGTGTGTAAATATTTAGTAAGAACTAAACTACATAAGAAGTCGCTTGTGTATTTTCTTTTAATGTCGTGATGTGTAAAACTTCAATTATTTAGTAAGTTTGAACTTCAGACAGTGCAGTCACATGTTCTGTTTTTATGGCTGTATTTTTTTGTTTTATTTTTTATGTTTTAATGAGCACATTACAGTTATCTCTGAATAAAAGAACATGAATAAATAAAGTTCATCTTATCTTTCAGTGCGTCATAGCTGACGGGGCAGTCAGTTATTGAATCTTGAATCTACAATTACAAAGGTACCACCAGACAAAATCAAAGACACTATCTTTACAGCATCATCAGTGTCTGCCAATCACTGACCTTTGTAGTTCAAATTAACCTAAATCTAAATACAAAGGGAAGGACAAAGGACAAGTGCCATAATAAGATGTGCATATAAATATTCCTAAACAGCGCAGCATCAACGGCAACGCCTCATCCTTCTCTGAATTTACTTCACAAGCCAAGGTAAGAGGTTGTCGTTGAACAGCATTGCTTTTAAAAAACACAATTTGGATGGTAATTAAATTTTTGTACTTGGGCTTAAGACTTCACAAATGTTTCTTATTTGCTTTGTTATTTAATTTTTATGTGTCTGGGATACATTTCACTACATTTCTGTTATTGACTCTCTCTTTGTCAGTCTCAACCAGAACAATGAAATACAGTTCAGCCCTGCTGCTGCTGCTGCTGCCTCTCCTGGGGACATGCTCATTTTACCGCTATCGTAAGTACGATCAAGTGGAGCGATAAAGTAATGATTCATTTGGCTCGGATGTGTTGAGTGGATTTGGTCTGGTCTTCGGCTTCAACTCCAAACTCAAAAAACTCTTAGAGTTGCGGTAATGGAGGATCAACAGATGTCCATGTAGTCACCTAAAGCAACACAAACCAATCAGAGGAGGTGATGTGTAGTTATTTGTGTTGTGCAGTCAGGGTGACCAACCTTTGTTTGTCATATGAATCGAATTGTGCAGTGAAAGAAATACCACATTTGAAAATGCTGAGTTACAAATAGAAGTCCTGCAATCAAAACATTAGTTTAGTAAAATATGTAAGTAGCCTATTAAAAGCAAATGTTCTTAAAGTATACGTAAAACTCAAATAAATGGCTTTGTCAAGTGTAACATTTTTATTTGTTAGACTATTGAATTATTATTATTGATGCATTAACAAACATGTAAGCACCATTTTGATATTTTAGCTGACTGAAGTAAAGATACTTCTACTCATTTCATATACTTTGAAGTGGCTTAATTTACTGTATTACAGTTCCTTGTATTTATAAGATGATCAAAGGGTATTAAAATGGTCATCTGAGAGTAAAAAGTAACTACACCTGTCAGGTAAATGTAGTGCAGAAAAGGTAATAACACTTTCCTCAGAAATGTAGTGGAGTAGAAATATAAGGTATAAAATTTAAATATCGATGTAAAGTATAAGTACCCCAAAATTGTACTTAAGTAGGCTACAGCCTTAGAGTAAATGTACTTTCCTTACATTTCACAACTTAGTCTCACCGTTACACAGTCAGCACATTTGTCTACAAATAAAATTCAGTCGAATCTTTACGTCTTCCATGAAAACCTTTAATCGACTGCTATGGAAAGTGAGTAATTTAGGCATCTTAATGATTTATCATGTATCAAATGACAACTTCAAATAAATGAAAAATGTTGCTCTGTAACTGCTGGATGTGTAAATAATCAATTTTGTCATACCAACTTAAAAAGGTGATGATGTGTTAAAGTTGCTGCTGTTCCCAGTGGCCCAGAAAATCTGTTATTGCAGATTTATTAGATTACAAACATCATCAATTATATATTTTAATGTTTATTTCAACTCACTCTTTCATAGAAAATGTGGCTTTGCGTGGCAGAGCGACTCAGTCAAAGCGCTTAGAGGGATCGCAAGATGCGTATGGCGCCGCCTACAACGCCATTGATGGAAACCGTGAGTCTGCGTTATTGTCCGGATCATGCTCCCACACTGCAAGCCAAACCAATCCCTGGTGGAGGGTGGACCTGCTGGAGTCCTACATCGTCACCTCCGTCATCATCACCAACAGAGGAGACTGCTGTGCAGAAAGGATCAACGGGGCAGAGATTCGCATTGGCAACTCTGTACAATACAATGGTGTTACAAACCCACTGTGAGTGCATGTTAATAGTTGTTGGATATGGATGAAACAAGCGACAGATAGAGCAACAGTTTAGTTCCTTTATTTCTTCTAGGGAAATGTGAGTAAGTGAACCTACTGACTTACCAAAAACAAGGTTTTCCTCAGGAAATCGTTTAGCAGGAGATGGACTTCAAATGTGTGATCAAATTTAAATTCAAAAATCGGTCATAATTATGGCTGAATGATATATATGAAATAGAATAATCATATTGTGATTATTGTGGCAAATATTGCGATAGTTGGAATTGTCATTTTTGGCATTTTACTTTCGCTGACAAAAATTTTTATATGATGATGGTGTGATTTTTCTTGAGGCACCACTATGCTTATTTATGGTACATTTAAGGCACATTTTACCTTTATAAAAATAATTGCTTGCCATAATGCAATGTATATAATATTCCAATTAATTGTGCAGCCCTGGGCATACTTATAAAACTAATACCATTTGCTGTCATCAGCAGTTTGTTGTTTACATGGACAACATGGTTCCTGGTAAAAACAAACTGTGGGAATACTATGGAACTGGATCTACTTTTAATTTATAACCATAAGTTTTTAACAAAAAGAGAGATAAAAATGTATAAGTGACTGAATGACTGAAGATTTAAATTAGATGACATAAGAATGGCCAGGTGTTAGGTATTATTTCTTTACATTGTTATGTACCTTTCAAGTACTGCAATTATAGAACAAGATTCATGCCCTGCTTCCTCTCTCGCTCTCTCTCTCTCTCTCTCTCTCTCTATAAAAAATTTGGTATAATTAATCAGATCCCAGCAGGAAAGTCTTTCAGAATGTTTTTTGCCAGACGTGTGGAGGGACGTTATGTGACCGTGGTTCTACCTGGTGTAGACAAGACGCTCACACTCTGCGAAGTGGAAGTCTACGGTTACCGTTCCCCAACTGGTGAGAGATGTGATTTGTCCCGTGATGCTGCCGCCTCAGTTTGCTTCTTCCTGTTACTAATAGATATCTACCTGTATATCTACCTGTGGATGCTGACACATAACACGCTACTATACTACTGCTGCTAGCTGCTGGTTTTGCAGTGTTGATCCAAGAAAACAACAGGCATCAATGCAACTCTCCATTTTTCTTACCACTGCAAAGGGCAACAATGTGCAAATAGCAATACATTTCAGGTTTAAGACATTCAACCACTGACATGTTTTTCTGCAGATAGCATTGAGGAGGACTAAGTATTACAGGGCTGATGTCTGTGACTGTGTCCTTTGTGCAGGAGAGAACCTGGCAATCCAAGGAAAAGCTACGCAGTCATCACTGTATTCTACAGGCATCGCATATAATGCCATAGATGGGAATCGTGGCACCAACTGGGATCAGGCTTCTTGCACTCACACAAACTATAACTTAAATGCCTGGTGGCGAGTGGACCTGGGCAAAACCTTTAAGGTGTTCTCTGTTACCATAACAAACAGAGATACTTACCCACAAAGACTCAATGGAGCGGAGATCCGCATTGGAAACTCTATTTCAAACTTCGGCAACGACAATCCCAAGTAATTTATCAAAATACTACTATAACTATCTACCATATTGTTTATTTGGAACAACATATTTGGCATTAAATATTATATTTAGATTACTTATCCATTTTCTCTCCTTTCTTCTTCTTCTAGGTGTGCTACTATCTCAAGCATGCCCGCAAGTTTCACCCAAACCTTCGAGTGTAAAGGGATGGATGGTCGCTACGTTAACATCGTCGTTCCTGGAAGAAGCGAGTACCTGACCCTGTGTGAGGTGGAGGTGTATGGCTCCAGATTAGATTAGGTTTGAGGAGGTTCAGTGACATTTAAAGTACAGATGTTTAACCTTAACAACCTTTGGGCTGTAGAATATGAATTATGACAGATCCTGCTGTCTTGAGTCTAGTTTATTGTTCGTTTAAATTGAGCTCTTTTGTTTTATAGTTCTTTGTTTAAAATTTTCTTCAATAGTCGAGTGACTGTTCAGTGAATAAAATATCAGAAAATAATCAAATAATGAGAGAGATTAAAAATCACTCTTCATCGGAGCAGGTACAAACCAAACCTCTGTCCTTCTTTAGTTTCATAAGTCCTTTTGAGCACAGCGGTGAGACTGAACACTGGCAATTATCTCCACGTGCAACACCTTTCTCGTTACTCGTGATCATTTCATTCAGTGTGCTGTGAATAGAGGTGCTGCTCGGTGTTAGCAATCACGATGCAGGATGTAGTTTGTGGTGCTTTTGAATTGCAAAGAATTCCATGTTTGTATTTGTTTGGAATATATTTCATTTGGTCTAATTTTGTAAATTAGTTTTATTTGAAGATTTCTATTTCCTTAGTTAAATAAACCGAAACAACAGAAACAGCCTGTCGTGTCTTTTCTTGTTTTCAGTTAGTTGGAACAGTCTGTAATGAATTATCTCCAGAGATGATTCTACTGTTGCTGCTACTAATATTAAATGATATATGTTTGAATCATAGACAATCAAGAAACTGCCGAGTTAGTTTATCATTTAACCCAGAATGCTTGGTTGTTGATTCGGGTAACACCGGGTGATTTCCTGCCTCATTCAAACTGGTGGGAGTCTGCAGAAGCTGAAGTTAAACTGTGTCTCTGCCTTGAGTTCGTATGAAGAAGACGAACAGACATTTCCCCCGAGCTATTCTCTTGCCACCACATTTTCAAAACTCTTATTTTGCCACATTGCAAAAGCAGCCTAGAAAACAAATAAGCCTCCTTTCAGTCATCGGGCCAAGTGGCTAATTTGATTTTCATTGCAACACAAGCTGCGTTATCAACAAAAGTAAACATCATGTCAGCTGTCTGGCATATCGTTTGGTCAATGCTGACATCTCTTACACACTGGAAGCCACATCACAGCATTTCTTAAGTTACAGAAGAGAGAAAAGACGATGCAAAAGTTTAAGATGAACTAAAGTTGCGTCACACACAAGTTATAGTTGAGAGTTTGGAACATTTTGACAAGTGATGCTGCTGTTACTGTCTGGGACTGGTGAACCTGCTGCATTATTAGAGCCTCTCTGTGGTTTTAAGGATTTATTGCAGCAAATTATTTGTAATTAAATAATTGATCGACTTACTACTGATTAAAATGATCATGTAAACTTGAAAGTTCTAGGATTACACTGGACTTGACTTAATGAATATGAGCAAAGCAGGAGAAGCAGTCAGCAGGTAAAGTACTTTTGGTACTTTAAGTACATTTTGCTGCTAATATTTTTGTACTTCAAGTCGAATTTTGAATGCAGGACTTTTACTTTTGGCACCGTATTTCTACACTGTTGTAGTGGAGATCTGAGAACACTCATTGTGGGCCATAATCAGAAAAAGGCATAACCACATATTAAATCTGAAATAAATTCATGAGGAATTGGATGTGTTTGTGTGTTCAGAGACCAAAACAGAGAAGTAGCAAAGCATTTGAACATTTGACATTCAAGTGACGCATTAAAGAAGAGAGAAGTTCCTGGGCAAGTGAACATTGTGCAAGGTAAAAAAGTGCAACTAAGCATTTTCAGTACAAAAAGATTTTTATTGTTTGCCTTTAACTACTTGATACTTTGGTAACTTTCCGCTGCAGTGCTGCTCCCCAAAACCACACGAACCCCTTTAATGTATCATACACTTGTCTTTTTTACGTTGAATTATTGCAAGAATAAACAGACAAATATCTGTGCTGGTTGGTTATAAGTATAACTATATATATTATACTCAGTTTACCAGTTCATGATGTGCAAGTTATCTGCCCGTGCTCCAGCAGGCCTTCTGCAATGGTTCGTTTAATTCACTCCAGCAGTTGGTCCAGTGACACCACTGTGACATTGATTTTATTACTTTGTTTTTATTGTAAACTCTTGACTCAATACTACTAATAAAAAAAAATAATAAAAAATCAGTTTATTGTGTAATCTTCTGCAACTTCTGGGAACGGTCTTGGCTAACCTCTGACACATGAATCACAAATAGGGAAGTGAAATACACAGGCATGGGAGTAAACCAATGGGATGTGATTGGATAGTGTGGAAGATGAATCTGATCTGATTTCTGATGATTGGCTGGATTATGGTTAAACTGATGGAGAGGTGAAGAAAGAGATGCGTATAAAGAGCAGAGAAACTGCTGAGATTTTAGGGGTTTGGAAGATTTTTTTTTATCTCTTCTGTTGAACCATCAGACTCCAGGGAGAAAGTTTTGCTCTGTCAGAGTCTCCAGGTAACACGTCTCGTTTCTTTGCAGCATCAGATCGTCTAAGTGCATTCATTTCTGTGTATCATGCTCTTTGGATGTTACTTAATAAACATTTTTTGTACAGTGGGACAGTGGTCTTAGACTTTTGGACCTCTGCAGCAGAAGGAAGCAAATAAAGCCTGCAATATTTTGAATCTTTGCACATTGGATTGAATTTATTGTAAAAATGTTAACTTCTGATTTGTGTTTCAAGTAATGCAATTTAGAAAACTTGATTTTAATATATTTTTAAGGTTCACATTTTGAGATAGGATAGAAATTCAAGCGTCTGGTTTAAAGTGGGCAGGGCTGAGCTGATAGACCTCTAAGGACCAATCAGGATATAAAAACACATTTAAATAAGAATGTGATGATGATGATGTTGTTGTTTACTCATGTTGCTGCGTCACTGTCAGTCAAATTGGGTCAGACCACACCCACACAGTTTGTGTTTTTCACTGTTAAACTCCTAATAAACAATAGCTAAGGACATTTTTTCCCCCTAGACTTTGAGTGTTGCTTATTTTGTCACAAACATTTAATGTTATAAAGACACAATCAGAAGCTTTGATTGTTTTTTGCCACATTAAAGTGACGATGGTCCAGATTCTTTCACTCAGAAATACAACAAAGACACAGCTGTGCCAGTAACTGTCAGACTTGTAAAACACAGTGATGTTTTTTTCCAACACAATCTCATTTTTCTGTTGTCACACTCAAAATCTAATACAAGAATCAGAAGCGTAAATTTTGAAAATATGGTCTATTGATGACTGTTATTTGTCTCCTACCAGAATGATGAAAGTCAGTGTTGTCCTCCTGCTGCTCCTCGTGTGGACACGCTCAGTTTCCACTTATGGCAAGTATCATCTGAGAGGATCTGTTACGTCTTCACTCTTCAAACATCAACAGATCCAGTGACGTGCGTTCCTGAAAAAACATTTGTCAGTTCATGATTATGTGTAATGACAAATGTACTGTAAAATACACATTAGAGGATAGGAGGAGGTGGATGAAGGTCTACTCTGTAAAGAGAAGGTGCTCTATTGAAAAGTGCCTTGAGATAACCTCTGTTGGGATTTGGCACTATATAAATGAAAAATTGATTCTGTAATCAGTAAAAGTAAATAGTATTTTTTTTTTTTTACAAATTATGTAAAATCCTTGGAGTAGTAATTGGTGTAAGGAAGCAAATAATTTTCTCCACAGCAAAATACATTCATCAGCAAGTCAATAAAGTTCAGCTTTACCACAATAAGTGTACGTGACTTTCAAATGTAGTTTTACCACCAGCAACTCAGGCCAAAACAAATGCTGTGACTCAGTTCTTTCTGTGAAGCTTGCAACATTTCCACGTTGGTTGTGTTGTCTGGACCTGATGGTTTGTCTATTTCCACATGTTGTCCTTGGTTGCAGTGTGTTGAGCTCTCCGGGAAATGTAAAATTATCAGTTGAGATACCGATTTAAGTTCAACAATTCACAATCTTCAATCTTTTGATGTGTATTTCACCTGTCTCATTGATAGAGAATGTGGCCCTGCGCGGGAAAGCGACCCAGTCAGACCGTTACGAGCACATATTTGGATCTGCCGAAAGCGCCATCGATGGAAACCGTGACTCGACATTTGCGGCGGGGTCGTGCACCCACACCGACGAACACACCAACCCCTGGTGGAGGGTGGACCTGCTGGAGTCCTACATCGTCACCTCCGTCATCATCACCAACAGAGGAGACTGCTGTGAACACAGAATCAACGGGCTGGAGATCCACATAGGAAACTCACTACAAAATGACGGTTTATTAAACCCAATGTGAGGGAATAAAAAAAACAGAAAAATAGAGCAGTTTTTATTTTACAGAAGCCTAGAAAGGCCATACTCGCAAATATTTTTTCAACCTGTTATCTCGAGATAACAGACCTTTGTTTTCTCAAGATAACAGAGAAATGATCCTGTTATCTCAAGATAACGGGATAAAAAAATGTTTGCAAGTATGGCCTTTCTAGGCTTCTGTAGTTTTTCCATTTTTGTCGTCAGAGTTAAAAAACTAAAAACAAAAAACAAGGAATTATTTACCTTTACTTCCGTGCCATCTGACTACCTTTCATTATTCTTCAATTCAACAAGGAAAAATAAAGAAAAACAAACTGCCTGAAAGTTCACACACACTTATGGAGAACAGGATTTGTTAAAGGCTGTTAAAAGCAGAACGACAGAATAAAAACTTACTGTCCTTCTCTCAACATATGGAGTGAAGAGCAGCAACATGTTCTCCAGTAAATTTTGAATTTTTAGTCAGTCAAACCTTAACTTCAAAAAAAGGTTTTTATCCTCTTTTGAAAAATGGGAATTTATGCTGTAGTTTCATTATAGTTCATATTTTCCTTACATGAAATCTGAGGACAAATCAATTTTCAGTTCAACTTTAAAGAACCAAACCTTCAGTCACCAGTAACAACAAGTCTGTTCCTTTAATCTTCATGTTACTCTATTCAACCCTGAAGGACTGCAGGTGTAAAATCTGATTCGAGTCTCTCTCTCTCTCTTTCTCTGTTAGTGTTGGTTCAATTCCCGTCATGGGTGCAGGCGTGTCGTCCACTGTGGAGTTCACTGATCGTGTGGAGGGACGTTACGTGATTGTGGCTCTACCAGGTTCAAAGAGGATGCTCACACTCTGCGAAGTGGAAGTCTACGGGTACCGTGCCCCGACTGGTGAGAATGTGAAAACTTACAAAGCCACATTTGCATTAGAGAAAGACATGGTTAATCCTGCCTTTATCCCGAGTCATAGGACAAAGGAAATGGAGCGATGTAAGAAAAGGATCTGCATGTTTATATTGATGTTCTTTCTGCAGGAGAGAACCTGGCAGTCCGAGGAAAAGCCGCACAGTCGTCTGTGTATTCGTCTGGCTTTGCTTATAATGCCATAGATGGGAATCGTGACAGCAACTGGGAGCAGGGTTCCTGCACTCACACGAAGAATAACATCAGCCCCTGGTGGCGACTGGACCTGGGCAAAACCCACAAAGTGTTCTCCGTCAACATAACAAACAGGAATGAAAACCCAGAACGACTCCACGGGGCCGAGATCCGCATCGGAGACTCTCTTGAAAACAACGGCAACAACAACACCAGGTAGTTTTCAGAGCGGTTACTCAAAGTCTGTGTGTGCTGCGTAGAAAACTGACACAGGTGTGCTTCTTCTTCCCAGGTGTGCTGTGATCATGAGCATCCCGCCAGGTCACGTTGCCGAGTTCCATTGTAACGGCATGGACGGTCGCTACGTCAACGTGGTCATCCCCGACAGAGAGGAGTTCCTCAGTCTGTGTGAGGTGGAGGTGATTGGATCCAGGCTGGATTAGTTTCTGAAGAAGCTCAAAATGCATCACAATAACACTTTGCTCTTGCTCATACTAACCAGAATCACAACTTCAGCTTCAATATTGTCAGAAAAAAAAACAACAAATGGCACCAATTTATGTCTGAAATCACTTCATGAACTTATTAATCAGCTCCTGGTATCAGCTCCATTTTTGTTCCATTGTGGGATTTTTTTAGGGCAATATTTTGTGCATAAATATTATGCTTACAGTCGAGACACGGATACAGTTTTGGAAGGTAAATGTAGTGCTAGATAAGGAGCTCTTTCAGATAGTTTGTCATAAAAAAATAAAAAATAAAAGTGTCCTGTCCTCCTGTTGATTCACCTGAAGCGATGAGATGTTCTGGCCTGTGCAACGTGCTGCCAATTCACTGTGAATGAAACCTCAAAATTTTATAGTTAAATGTAATCTTTATAGTAACTGTGAATGAAATGACAGTGTTGGATCAGCGCAGTCGTCTCTCTGTGAGCGTGTCGTACACATTATAAATGTCATGCTGATGGATGCTCCTTAGATGACCTCTGAAATGTAGTTTAAATGTGCGGGAGGAGACTCCATGACATCTGTGATTAATGTTTTATATTAATGACTGACTATAAGGGGGATGTCGTTGAATTGTCTAAGTCTGTGAATAAAGGAAAAAGTTACACACAGAGCGAGCTGATGTCTTTTCAGTTAAATTGTGTTGTGCAACAGGAGGAAATACACAACACCAGAAGTCTGGTCCTTTCACTAGAATTCAATCTTCACTTGTGCATCTATGTTAAAGTGTATTTATAGCCGGCCTACAAGCTACCTGCTCCCTTTAGCGCACACATGCTAGCACACTGCAGTTTCTACTTCCTGTCCCTGAACACAAAGCTCCTTTGAGATAAGACAAGATACAGTTGCATCTCTGTCCATTCGTAAGGTCACAACCTTTACGTAGCCCGTATGTAGCATATTAACAAACTGGAATTAAAAGGAGACCTTACACACTGTGCGATTTAAATCAGATGGCAAGTTTGCTACAAGCAAGATGATCTATATATATATATATACTGTATATATATATACACAAGTTTAACTTTTTGGATGTTTGTTGAAAGTCAACCACGGAGAAGATTTTTGTTATTGTTGGTTTAGTAAATCTGGAACGATAGAACTGAACTGAAGGGGTGCGGGAGCAAACGAAAGAAGTTGAAAATGAGTAAAGGAGTCGCCATAACGTAAGTAGAATAACATAAGAAGAGCGCAGTCGTCTCTCTTTGAGGAATGTAATGAGTGTGTATTAGATGAATCTTCTGGATTAAGTCATGGTGTGTCCTTAGCTGACCACTGAAATCTAGTTCAAATATGTACAACCATGATGTTTGCGATTAATGTTATCTGTATTAATGATTGACTGTACGGGGGAGATTATTGCACAAACAACTTGTTTTTAAGGGTGTTGAGACCAGACACAGGAGCTCATCCTGTCAGCTGAAGAAGAGCTGAATAACTGGACCTCAGGGATCAAAACATTTGTTGTCACCAGGAATCAGGGTAAGCATTTCTTTTCTCATTTCTTTCATTGTAAGCCTCTCTCAGACTCTCAGACGGTCAAGTCTTGGTCGTATTTACAGGCAGCGTTGCAGACTCAGCGTCTTTATCCTAGATGTAGAAATATAAATATGTATGTGAATGTGAGCGCAGAGTTTTACAGCGGTTCCATAACAGTTTGAATGTTGACTGATACAAATCCATCACTTTAACAGACGGATGAAGCCATCAGTGTTACGGCTTTATTTATCTCATTTATGCCTGTTGTGGTCTGCATCCTTTGCTGTTCTTTGATTCACTTCACAATAGTAGAAAGTCCGAGTAATGTCTGATTGACCCGATGTGTGAACAGAGCAGGTCATTGTCCGGAGAATTGACAGTGAGCGAGCGGGCGTGTTGATGGCCTTCTTCTATCCTGCCTCCTGCACGCTCTAACGAGGAGCCACACTCACCTACAACAAATTAAGCACTGAGCACTTTTATACTTTCACAGTATTAATATAGAACCTAGACCCGCTTTATAATTAAAAAAAAAAAAAAAAAAAAGACATGGAAATCTTTCTACAACATTGGATCTTTAATGTTCCTCTTGTCCTTCCTTAAAAAATCCCTTATTGATTGCAGGTGTTTTCTCTTTCTTCCTTCTTCTTCCTGACGGTCTTTATCAGTCAAACGGTCAAAATATACTTGGAAAGTGTAAAATGCCACTTGAAACTTTAATTCCATGAACAAAGCTCTCTGTTCTGACTCAAACAGAAACTATGAAGCACGCCGTAGTTCTCCTTTTGCTGCTGTTCTTGCGGACGTGCTCGGCTTATTCTTATCGTAAGTATGATGTGAGAATATCTGTGTTTATGTGTCAACTATAAAACATCAGCAGAGGTTTACATTTCTACCATTTAAATAATGGCTAATACGGAGGGTGGGATATTGCTGTTCAGCTTTTATGTAGGAGTGGAGGGAATCGACATCTGTGTTAAAGGAAGAGTTGGCATGGCGGGACAGATGTCGAGGCTGTTGTGTCACATGTTGCGCCTCTGATCCCGGGACCCTGGCACGCTGTCTAGAATCACGCACCGCCGCCTTTGTTTGGTTAAGTGTAAACAAAGTCACCAACAACATAAAGCCATGTGTATTTCCGTCACAGAAAATGTGGCTTTGCGTGGCAAAGCGACTCAGTCGCACCGCTTCGAGGGACTGAAGGATGTTTTCGCGGCTGCCTACAACGCCATTGATGGAAACCGTGACTCCAGTTTCACAGCTGGTTCATGTTCCCATACTATAACACAAGCCAATCCCTGGTGGAGGGTGGACCTGCTGGAGTCCTACATCGTCACCTCCGTCATCATCACCAACAGAGGAGACTGCTGTGCAGAAAGGATCAATGGGGCAGAGATTCACATCGGCAACTCGTTACAGGACAATGGTGCTGCAAACCCAGTGTGAGTGCTCATTAGTGGTTATAGGATTTAGATGAAAAAAACTAAAAACAACAGCATGGGCAGCCATTTTGTTCCTTTCTTTCCTTGTTCAATATTCATCACCACATTTTCCCTCAGGACTGGGAATGGCTCAAGGCTAAAGCAAAGGAGGAATCATTCATATTCATATTCTGCCCAGGATTTCAGAGTCCAGTCCAGACTGCCCAGTCACAACTGACCTGTTCCATTAACCATCACACTGCTGCATCCCAGAATCCCCCAAGCACATACTGAGCATCATTAATAAAACGATTCCTCTCTTTTTGTCTCTTTTTTTAAATTTAGGGTTGGTGTAATCTCTGAAATCCCTGCAGGGAGCTCACACACTCTGACTTTCACCAGTCAAGCAGAAGGACGTTATGTGACTGTGCGTCTACCTGGTTCAGACAGGGTTCTTACACTCTGTGAAGTGGAGGTTTATGGGTATCGTGCCCCAACTGGTGAGAACTTGAACCATCCCACGATGTACAGTTAAAATGAATGTCATTCTCAGATTATTAGTGGCTTCGTAAAGATTTGGGCCACTCTGGGAAAATTAAGAAGATTTGAAGTGAAAAGAAGTAAATACAACTCCTGCAAACAGGAGACTGACTTTCAAACTCCACAACTACAGGTTGTGACACGTTTAAGAAAATCCACAGTTAGTCATGACTTTAACGTGATTGAAACATAAATAAAGGTATCAGTGCTGATACCGTGTTGTTTTTGCAGGAGAGAACCTGGCACTCCAAGGGAAAGCCACACAGAAATCAGTGTTTGGATATGGCTTGGCATACAATGCCATCGATGGGAATCGCGCCGCCAAGTGGGAAGACGCCTCCTGCGCTCACACAGATTACCGCTACAACCCGTGGTGGCGACTGGATCTGCGCAAAACCCACATGGTGTTTTCTGTTAAGATAGTCAACCGAGATGTCTTTGCAGAACGACTCAATGGAGCCGAGATCCGCATCGGAGATTCTCTTGACAACGACGGCAACAACAATCCCAGGTAGTTTACAGACTGTTAATTATAGTACTAACATAATTAAAAGTAAGCAGGTCAGAATCTCCAATCTTGACAGTACAGATTGTATGATACAGCTCGACCGATACTGATACAGATATCTAACTTTCTCTCTGACTGATCATTTTATAATTAAATACAGCTGAAATCTCAGCTCAGTTTTTGTCTTTAATTTACTGCATGCGTTTGGTGATTTTGTCAGATGATGTCGCAGTTATAAAATCAGGATATGACCATAGGTGGGCCAGACATATACTTAGCTTTGACCAAGTCTTGTTTCTCAATTAGCTCAGTGCTAGTTTGGCATTTCTTCACTTTATGTTACTTACTGGTCAACATATACTGACACATATGCAGTAAGCTAATATTGGCTGATAAATCGGCCAGATGATAAATCAGTCGAGCCCTATTGTGTGGAAATGAAAGAAAATGTGGTCACTCCTTTTATCATTACCAAACCTCAATAAAAACATCTGACACCAACAGTTAAAGAAAGTGAAGCCTAAAAAAGAATCTCTTCAGCCGGTCAACCTTTGCAAAGATAAAGTCATTTCTGCTTCTTCCAGGTGCGCTGTGATCTCACACATCCCGCCAGGTGCTGTTCATGAATTCCAGTGTCATGGGATGGACGGTCGCTACGTGAACGTGGTCATCCCTGAAAGAGGCGAATACTTGACCCTGTGCGAGGTGGAGGTTTACGGCTCTGTCCTGGATTAGTTTTAGAGGTTTAATTCATCTGGAAGAATTTAGCCGACACTGTTATATTTACTCAAACTAATCGGAACAATAGATTACGCTTGAATTTGATTGTTTGCATGAGAAACAAGTAAAATTCATTGCAATGTCTGGTCTTAAACTAAAACGCTGCCCTCTCACTCATTTCAAAGAGACCTATGGTAAAAGAAAGCAGGTTGAATCGCGCCTGTGTGTTTTTTATTGATAATGCTGTTTTGAGCTCTTTGTAATGCCAAACTTGTGAACTGCACTGCCTCTGCTGCATAATATCACATCTTTAATCATCATAAAAGAGCCTTACACATCGGAGCATAACATTCATAACAATTGATATTAAAGCTTTAACAAAACTGCATCAACATGGAACTGTGTTTTCTTTTTTCTACTTGTTTCCTTGTCTCCACAGCTGCCTTCTGCCTCAGCGCCATGAGTTTTAACTGGTTGACAAATGTAGTTTTACTTTAGCTCATTTGTAAACGCAGTCACGGTTACAGTATTTGTCCTTTCGTCTGGTAACTCCTTTCTAATATGAGTCCATTACAGGTGACGTCAAGCTCACTCGGTTCAGGTAAGGCCCTTATGTCCAAGAACAATTTCCATCGTGATCTTTGACGTAAAAAACTACAACTAACAAATACAATGTGTATCACCAATACAATCAACAATACAAATCACTCCAATCGATCTAAATATTTCCACTGCAGAAGCCGTTAAAGTTAAAAGTTAAGATAAGAAGAAAAGCCTCATGTTATTAATGCTGGTAAGTGCTTATGTGGGACTGCTGCAGTCTCTCCCATCTCGCCTGTTAAACGGAAAAATCCAGGCAGCAGCAGCAGCAGCACAGAGACACAGACGGGACATTTATTTAGCTTAGTGTTAATTAGCCCGCCTCGTAGCACAACAAATCACCATCTCCAGTGCTTCCTGCACCGTGACGACAGGTTATCTCTGCAAGTTAAATGCATCTCCCCCCTCGGCCAATCCCGAGGTTATTAAAACGTACGCTTTCCACTGCTGTGAGACGAGTTTAGAGAATCTGTGAAATCACACAGAATCAGTGACAGAGTGAAATGCAGACGAGGACACGCTGTAGATTCAGCTTCACTGCAGGAACACAGAGGATCCTCAGCTTAGACCCTCACTGCTTGTTTGTCATTGAAACATCTTGACTGTAACACAAGATTATTTTCATTATCGATCTGTGGATAAGCTTTTGATTAAATTAATTAATCGTTTTCAAAGAGATACAGAAGAAAAATGCAAATCCCAACTTCGCAGAGTCCAAGGTGACACTTGAAAATGTCTTGTTGATCTGAGAAACACCTCGAGGGGAATTTCTTCAAACTTGGCAGACATTCACTTGGACTCAAAGATGAACTGATTCAAATTTGGTGATCAAAGGTCAAAGGTCAAAGTCACTGTGACCTCTCTAAAACACATTTATGGCCATACCTCACGAACTTGAATTTATACGCTACTTATGACACAATTAAACTCAAATGTCTATAAAGGATAAAAATGAAGTGATGACGTTTTATATCCAAAAGGTCAAAGTTCAACTTCACTGTGACATCATAACATTCTGTAAAAACACCTCTGGCCATTGTTCAAAGCTGTAACTCAGGAAGGAGAGACTGTGACCACACTTCCTGCAACTTGACTGGTTGGCGGAGGAATACAACCACGAGGCGGAAATTCTAGTTTTTCTGTTGATTGACACAAGATTGTTTCAGTTCATATTTACTTTATTCACTTCCTGGTCGACTTTCTCCTGTTTGAGACTGATGAGTCAGGATCAGCTGTTTAATTAAGCCCCAAAAACCCAAACTCAGATTCAGTATCACCACTTATCAGTAAAATCAGAACAATGTAGATCCTTACAGGTCCTCAAAGGTGCACCTGACCTGTAGGTTTGCCTCAATATCTGTAAATTTTATGACTGTAGACTGGATTCATTTGAGCAGCCTTGGTTCTCTCCAAGCGGCAAACTGCCGTGATGAAGCCTCGAGTTTGGCTTAATGGAAGTCGCCATCATGGTTTTTTGGAGCCAGAAGAAACCATAGTTGGATGAAAGGGTGGAGCTGGGAAGTAGTGAGGGGTGGATCTGACATACAGTATGTCCCCGACAACACTGAGTACGCCCACCTGCATCGGCAACCTGAAAGCAACAAGGTCCTGGCCGAGCCCTGCGAAGATGCTGCTAACACGGTTAGCTGTAAAACCACAGTGTAAAACCTATTCTGGTTCTGCAGAACATGAACAAGCTTCAGAACAGCTTCTCCCTCAGACTGTGAGTCTGCTTCATATAAACTGTGTCACACACGAAGACTGATGGTGAATAATGGCTCCTGGACTTTTTGCACCTTCCCTCCATCACTAATGAACAGCAGCAATAGCTTACAGTCAACCTGTCAGACTGTTGCACTATCCTCACTGAGCTATTAAGTATTATGTTTACATTTCTACTATAATTTATACTTGTTAATAAATAAGATTTATCCACTTTATTATGCAAGCTTGTCTTGTGACGGTGAAGTTCACCTGTACCTTCATTCATTCATTTAATTTGTCAGTTACATTTGATTGTAAATTGTCTGTGAATGTTCTCATTCGTCCAGGTCATAGTTATCTCTCTCTCAAATTAAATCGAAGGCAACTGGACTTGTAAATTCTGCAATCTCCAACACAAGACAATTAACTCAGGTAACAAAGCAGGAAACTCAAAAAAGGAACAGGAGGCAAACCAACACACAAAAACAGACAGATGGGTAAAGAACTTATCTGACAGGGAACTTACCCAGCCCGAGAAGGAGGTCCTAACCAAAGGGCTAAATTTTGCTGTTACACCAGAACAAGTTCCTATAGTTGAACTCATCACAGCTACAGAATCAGCTATAAGGAAAAACAACCTGAAAGAAACTGAAGCAGAACAGCTAAGGTTTAAGGTGTCAGCAACCCTGTCCAATGCTAAGGCCCCACCTTCGAACCTCACCTTTCATGAAAGAAAAGCTGTGATATCCCTAAGCAAGGATAAGAACATCACTATCCTTCCAGCTGACAAAGGGAGATGCACAGTAATTCTGAATACAAGTGATTACCATGCTAAGGTTGCCACTCTTTTAAATGACACAAGCACCTACGAAATATTGAAGCGAGATCCGTCCAGTGGCTACAAAAGAAAGGTCATTGAATGCCTCCAAAAACTACAACAAGATGGAGCCCTTGACCGGCCACAATACCTCCGTCTCTATCCTCAGGACACCATCCCATGCCTATATGGACTCCCCAAGGTCCATAAGGAAGGGGCACCACTCCGACCCATCGTAAGCAGCATCAATTCAGTAACCTACAATATCGCTAAGCTTGTAGCCAACATCTTAGCCCCCCTGGTTGGGAACACACCACATCATGTTCGAAACTCGTTAGACTTTGTAAATAAAATCAAAGGCTTGAAAATGGCACAAGATGAAACCATGGTGTCATACGATGTGACCTCCTTATTCACCTGTATTCCAACCATGGAGGCAGCGGAAACTGTGAGGAATCACTTGAAACAAGATCACACGCTACATGACAGAACAAACCTCAAACCAGACCAGATTTGCCAGTTACTGGATTTATGCCTCACAACCACATATTTCCAGTTTAACGGCAACTTCTACAGACAAAAGCACAGCTGTGCTATGGGCTCACCTGTGTCCCCCATTGTGGCCAATCTATACATGGAAATGGTAGAGCGAAAGGCCCTCAACTCCTTCAAGGGAACTCCACCAAGCCATTGGTTTAGGTATGTGGATGACACATGGGTAAAGATTAAAACACAAGATCTACAAGCCTTTACCCAACACATCAACTCAGTGGACAAGAACATCAAATTCACAAGAGAGGATGTCAAAGACAACCACCTACCTTTCCTTGACTGTGATGTCCACCTTGCTGGGGACAGGAGCCTCCACATTGGAGTATACAGGAAGCCCACGCACACAGACCAATACCTTCTCTTTGACTCACATCATCCACTGGAGCACAAACTGGGTGTTATCAGAACCCTGCAACACAGGGCTGACAACATACCAACCTCCACTCGGGCCCAAGCAGAAGAACATAAACATCTAAAGGGAGCTCTGAAAACTTGTGGCTATCCGAGTTGGACTTTTGGCAAAACAACAACACGCTCCAGAAAGAATACCAACACGGAGGATGCTGAGAAAATGAAAGATAAACGCAGAAACATCGTCATTCCATACGTGTCTGGGGTCTCAGAGAAACTCAGGAGGATTTTTAACAAACATCAAATCCCTGTATGTTTCAAACCCAGTAACACGCTCAGGCAGAAACTGGTACATCCCAAAGACAAAACACCACACAATCAGAAAAGCAACCTGATATATGCGGTCAAATGCAGTGAGGAATGCAATGACCTATATATTGGGGAAACTAAACAACCTTTAAACAAACGTATGGCCCAACACAGAAGGGCAAACTCTTCAGGCCCTGTCTCAGCTGTCTACTCCCACCTAAAGGAAAAGGCACACTCCTTTGAAGACAGCAATGTCAAAATCTTGGACAGGGAGGACAGATGGTTTGAAAGGGGAGTCAAGGAAGCCATCTATGTAAAAGTGGAGAGGCCATCGCTAAACAGGGGAGGGGGTCTGCGACACCATCTATCCCCCATCTACAATGTCGCCCTTTCATCGGTACCCAGGAGAGTCAACAACATAACCTCAGACGACTCTCAACGATCGTCATCCACCAGGGGCTCACCTGACCCTAACGACTGTCGTCCACATGAGACCACAACAATGGTCAGGTGAAACCAGTACTTTCACAGGTACTTTGGTGGACCCACCCACAAGAGGTTAAATACCTGGGTCCTACTCCTTGGTCAGACTAGTGCGGACTAGAGAGACCAATACATAAGAACTGATGAAGCCGCTTGGATAAGAGGCGAAACGTCTTCCACAGACAAATACAAGTCCAGTTGCCTTCGATTTAATTTGAGAGAGAGTTAATGAGATAAACCTGAATGTTTTGCTGCATGTAGGAAAATTCTATCAGCGACTGATTTTTTCTAATAAGATGAGAGTGAGTTCATTGTTCAACTATATTTATCCTTGTCCTGCAAATGTTTGGGACCAGGTACGGTTAGCATAGCAAACACTAAGTTATCAGCTAGCTAGATTAGCAAAGTCCATCCGTAATTCACATTAACGCTAATATTAATTTGGATGTTAACTGTCTCCTGTTCTCCGGTCAAAACACATAGAGAAAAAAACGTACCAGCTTTTAGGAGCATCACACACATTAAAACTGTAGGACGTTCAGAAAATAAACATTTACTTACCGAAAAAAAACTGTATATCAGCGTCTCTCCAGTCTGTTAGTGCCGAAGAATGAACCATAATTACTGTGAACCGAAAACTCATTAAAACTAAAGAACTAACAGCAAAACTGTCAGTGCAAAATTCCTCCTCCACCGACAAATATTGAGAAAAATGATAGAAATTTAACACAACTGATTCAATACGATGCTCACACGACCCAAGCTCTCCTCCGGTGACCATCCTCCCGGCCTGCCTCAAAACACCTGTTTTTAAAGCCTAATATCTAATTAATTAGATGATTATTTTCAGATGGACCACCAGAACACTGAACGAGAGATGTGAATTTAGCCAAAGACATCGTAATGAGCTCTGGAAAAGATGTATCGACTGAGTATTTCATGAGAGAAGTTGGCTGTTTTTGAACGACTGTGTATTGGAGTTTTTTGGAGCCGGCCCCTAGCGGCCCTCGGTGGTTTTGCACATTAAGGCACTTTCGCATTGGCTTCGCTTCTCAGCCCCGGACACTACGTCCATTTTTATACACAGTCTATCCACTTCCACATGTTTTATTTACAAACACAGCAGATATTAGAGCGGTTCTTCTCAAACATCCCGACCTTGACTTTTTGTGGGGCAAAACATTTTTATAACATTTACAAAAAAAAAAAAAAAGCTCTACTGCTGATGGCAAATATTTTATTTTTTTAAAATACAGACAAAATAGACAAAATATTATAAAAGACATCTGAAACACGCCTACGCCTGCGACAGGAATAAACTACTCATGTCAAAGCGTTTGGGGAAGTGTGACAACAGCTTCACTCCTTTAAAAAAACGGGCACTTGACTCACAAGACCACTTGCACGAGATATAAGGGGATAAACGTGAGTTGTGTGATTTGTTCAGCCGCTCAGAAGCTCTTTTTGGATGGTGAATGTGTGTTTGTTTTGTTTAAAAGGAACATTGCACTAATCTCATTTGTTCTTTCATCTCAATCTGATGCCCAATCAATGAAATCATCCATCCCGAGGTGTGAAAATGATTTCAACCTGTTACAAACCAACAAAAATACATTATAATATAATATTATATATATATATTTTTTTAAACTCATCCTGGGATATCTGATAAGAAGTGACCGATGACTGTTAAGGACATGCTGCCATGTTGGAGTAACAGAAAACTGAGTCTGTGTGGTGGAGGTTTAGATTCAAGTTCCTGCAGGAGGATGAAGCCATGTTGGTTTCTTCAGTTCAACATGGCGGCTCCTCTCTGTTAAAGCAACACTTCGGACAATACACTTATTTGTTTTCTTGTCATTAAAGAAGCACCTGGACTGAGATACAGTCCAGCACACAACTCCACAACCTGTGGTTCCCCCTGCCTCCAGTCTCCATGCTGTGCTAAGAACTGAATCACTGCACTGGCTTCCTGTGTGTCAAAGGACAGATTTTAAAATCCTACTACTTGTCGATAAAGCGCTAGACGTTCTTGAGGCCAAATACATCCCCGATCTACTCCTAGACTCCGCAGGTCTTCTGGGAGGTTCACTCAGTGTTCCCAGAATCAGAACCAAGCTTTTAGTTTCTATGCTCTCCACCTGTGGAACAAACTTCCTGAACACCTGAGATCTGCTCAAACAGCTCATTTAAATCCGGGCTTAAAGGAGCTATTTGTAAGTTTAGTTATTGCTACATAGCTAACGTTAGCATTAACAGCTGTTTACTTACCAGCTCTTCCCGAGAGCTTCAGTCATTGTTGCGTTTACAATACAAGAGGTTATAATACGTCCTCTGAGCAATTACTTCTTCAGAGCAGACTGGACGCTACAGTTACTCGGTTTCGGAAAGTGACGAGACGGGCCAACCAGGCCGGGGCTAGCTGAGTAGCATGCTAACTTCAGGAGAAGAAAAAAAGTGATAGAAATAGAAGCAAAACAAGAGGGTGGCTTTCCACCACTGGAGGCAGCTCTTGGCGATAAAAGGAATGAAGTTTGTTGCTGAAGTTAACAGCTGTTGATGCTAAGGTTAGCTATATAGCAATAACAAATCTTACAAACAGCTCCTTTAAAACGTTAATATTTGCCAATAAATCACATATATTACATCTTTTTAAACTTGTGCCATGTTTGCATTTGCTTGTTTTTAATGTCTTCTATCACAAATGGTGTCCTCAGTTTCTTACCAGATTTTATGCAATCTTGATTTGACTTCTTTAAATACTTTTATTTATTCAAATTTGTTTTTATTGTTTTTAAATGCTATTGTACTGTCATCTTAACACTATATGCCTCTGTAAAGCACTTTGAATTGCCTAAAAGCCCCGCCAGCTGTAACTTCACATTTACCTTACAGACATGAGTTGTAACAATCTTCTCATTCAACTCTCGGCAAGGAAGCGAATTAATCATATTTCTTAAAATAATAAACATTCATCATTGTGACCCAAACCAAAACAAGGACAAACCAAACACCTGTTACCAATTACATTAAATTCACTGCTACGAATAGTTTGGATTGGCTGTAACAGAACTCACACACTGATGCTACAGAACCCCGAACACCCAGCTTTGATCACAAGACTTTCCTTTGGCAATAAACAATAATTCAAGAAAAACACAAAGAACCTTTTAAAGGCCGTATGTCGGTATTGTACAAAACAACAGTTTGCGTATTTACAAAGATGATGTAACAGGGCACAGTTAGGTTAAAACTACTGTTTTTTTTTTGTTTTTTTTTTTTACAATGTTTGGCCACAAAAAACAAAACAGTTTATAACTGAATTATTCTTGAGTGGAGCGGAGCTGGACACTGATGCTGAATGATATGTATTAAAAAGATTTTAAAAGCTTCCAAACACAATAAACTGAATTTTTCTCTGTGATTCTCAAGACTCTTAAAACACTGTTGGCTTCAAAAGAAAATTTCCATAAAAATATTCACACAAATAAATTATAAAAAAAATCTGATATCATTTTTTTTTTTTTTTCACAGATCAACACTGTGCATGACGATAGAAGAAGTCAGCTTTTGTCAAGTTTGCAAAGGGTATTGCTTCACAGTATGTGGACATCATCGATTGGTCCTGCCAGACAAAATTTACTTCTTAAGCGAAAGTCACAGAAACGTTATTACATAAAGTGAAAAATGAAGTTTGAACAGCTTCTCTTCAAATAAGGGCTGTTTGTAACAGAACTAATGTAACAAGCTAAACGAGGAGCTACAACACCTTTTGGCTTTCACTTGGGTACCGACTGGAGCATGATGGGAGACGTCGCCGGATGACGAAGCAAGGCGAGAAGGATGATTGGCAAAAATGTGGGGAACAGGGAAATACTGAGAACCATGAGGTTACCAAGAGCGGAGAGACTCATGGCAGATTGTTTTGGCATATCCAACCTGTTACCTGTCCACCACTCAATGAATCTAAGCACCGCGAAAAAAGGGGGAACCGGTTTGAGTTTTGGGAGGTAAAAAGCAGCAACGGCAGTGACTGACCAAAAAAAAAAAAAAAAAAAAAAAAAAAAAAAAAAAGAATATAAAAAAGAAGTGGTGGAAAGAAGACGTTTGGTGCTGGACCGGCCCATCCAGCGCTGTTATCTGAGGTCTTTGGTGACTTTGGGGACTTTGAGAACTTTGTAAATGTCATTAGAAAAGACTGTGGTGAAGTGGGGGCGTGAGTTCCTGGACATGTGGGTGCAGAGGGGGATTTTACCAACGTTCTGGGGATCCTCAACGTCCCAGATCTCCGGCATGCTGCACCCGGGCCTGGGCGAGGAGAGACGGAAGGAAAAAGGATGAATGAGAAAGAGAAAGAAAGGAGATTACACGAAATCTGAAATAAAGGCAACAATGCGAACTCTTCTGTGAGAGGGCACTGGTGGTGTTGGGAGTACCTGGTTCGCCTGGTGCACCAGGAATCCTCCAGGACGAAGAAGTCCACCCCCAGCTTCATCAGATTCCTCTTCACCGTTTCTCCAGACATGCGGCTGTACATGGAGTAGACGAGCTTGGTTCTCTCCCTGCAGTCAACACAATACAACACAACACAACAGACAATAAACAATAAGCAAAAGAAGCCACTCTCTTCTCACTTTGCAACGGTTCCTGTGCCACACAAACCCAAAATAATATTTCCACCCCCACTCTAATTTTTTTTTGTTCAATACTTTGTTGATTAGCTTTTGTTCATTTTGATTTAACAAAGTAAACAGAACAAACATTTAAACCTCCTTCCCACCCCCAAATAACACAACAGCCTCTGTAAAATTCAAAAATAAAACTTGATACTTAATAAACATAATTTCCACCCCCATGCTTTACAGACAGCAAAGAGGACGATAGTAAGTACTGACTTAGTTCACACAATTACTGTTTAATTCAGTTCATGAAATAAAAAGTAGCAGTGATTTAACATTTGACATTTTTACTGTATAAAAAACTGTAATGTCAAGTTTTGATAATAATTGATGTTTTCCATGATGATGATGATGATGATGATGATGATGTGATGCATGACTCATGTTTGTGATAACACAGTTAATATTTAAAGAATTTCTCCTCTCCACAACTGTCCAGTGTAATAATGATTATGAGTTGAAACTGTACAATGGCAGTTGGAAAAAATATCCAGGGCACTCTGATTATAGACGTGAAACTAAAAAGAAGTCTTCTTCTCCTGTAATTCGTTGGTTGGATTTGAAGATTTAATCCAGTTAAAATATCCTGCTGTGTGCGGTTGTATTGTATATGTTGTATATTGACCAGGACACAGACTCCAACTGGAACCTGGATTATTTCTTTTTCTAGTTATGTCTCTGATCTGATCTGATCTGCTGTGAGCTCCGCTGACCTCAGACCAGTGTCCTCATAGTGGGGATGGTTGACGATGGGTCGACCTGTGGACAGCTTCACACTGGCCATGGTGGGCATCGCTCCCGCAAACACAGAATCTGTATCACAGAAAAACAAACAGAAAAGAGCCCAACACCTGGTCACGGTATAAAAGAATACAATAATGTCCTGATGTAGAGAATAACAGACTCTGGTCAAAAGAAATCTCTTGGTAAAATGTGGTTGAAAAGTTTTATGCAGCGCTTCAAAAACAGACCATATTTCAATAGGACACACAGTTCAGAGCTAAACATTCATTTAAATAATGACAGACCTTCAAATTACCAAGAATTACAAAATCAAACAACCTGCTTGCGCTCAGAAAGTGACGTTACAGAGTGATGTGTCTTTTGTCTGAATTCAGACGCCAGCTGCAGAGAGCACATTAACACCAGACCAGGCAGCTGATACCTGTTATTTCAACCAGCTACAGCCTGACATCTGCGTGCTTTCCTCTTATCTCTTAGATAAAAGGTTTGATGAGGGATTCATTAACACTGGAGTTTAACAATCTAGGTAATCAGGCATCAGACCCAAAACAGAACCGACCAGCTGAACCCATCCCTGTGTCTGAGCAGAGTCAACTGTAATGTGCATTACTGCTCCCTACAATAACATATAAAGTGGAACCAGGGGCTTTCTTGACACAGTGTGCCGTAGCCACTCACTGTGAACTTATATAATAGGTTCATATAATGTAGAAGTGAGGTCACTAATCGTGATCCAGACCCCATCCTTTCCGGACTCGGACGTATACGCTTTAAATTATTGAGAATTATCATGTTTTCATGGAGCGTTTAACTCACACAGCTTTTTTTTTTATCCTTTACAGCTCTGGTCATGTGACGCTTACTCAGCCAATCACTGCCACTCGAGTCAGTGAGCGAGATACAGACACGGTGAGAGACGAGGCAAGAGAAGGTGGAGAAAGTGGGATGTAAAAGGGAAAGAAAGAGAGAAGGAGGAGCTCAAGCTGAATTTCTGCTTTATTCTAACATTGTTAATGTTTTAAGGAAACTCACTAAGAGTTAATTAAGTACATTGTCTTGCAATCATCTCTTTGAAATGTCACTAATTGCTGTAAATTACTTTAATATTGTTTCTTTCCCTAAAATCTTTATTTCCTGGTTCAGACTCTGGGTTTTAAACTCTTTTACCTCAGTTCAACTGCTCCACATAAGGAACGCTGCTCCCCCCCGGGCGCCTCCTTTGATTTGTGATTGACAGTCATTAGTGTAATTAGTGCTGACAGGAGGTGACTTCTTGGCATCTGTGAGGTGTTGGATGTGATTTTTTCACCATGAAACTTCCACTGAGTTCGTTCCAAGTGATAAAGAACAGAAGATTTGCGTTCAGCGCAAATCTCAACTTGACCCAAAACAAACTGAGCTGTAAACTGTTTCAGGAGGCGGCACCGCAGCTGTTGGTGGAGTTTTGAGTCATTGTTTGATGTTTTCTGTAACTTTAAATGCTTTACACACTACATCACATGTATTTCTTTATGTGGATATGGAAGAAACATGATTCTCAATCAGTTTTCCTGTAACACTATCCAATTCATTATAGTGATCAGAACGATCAGGGTCATTATTTTCACTGTAACCATGGCAGCAGGAGGCTTCACTTACCAGTACGGGTGTTGTCCTGGATCCAGTCCAGCAGCTCCTCCTGCGGCAGGTTGCTGAACTCTCCGATGATACCCCACTGGGCCTGCAGGTTGGCCACTCCCTGAACAGCCATGACGGCCATGACGGCAAACACCACAATCTGGTGCTTAAACCTCTCCCCGATCCAGCCAAACAACTGACATGACAAGCAGAGAGAGCGTTACTGAATCACAGTGTGTGTTCAACAACCTTCTCTTCACAGGTCAAACATTAATGACCTTAATCAAACAAATATCTGAGTCTTTTATGGTGTTGGATCCCTTTCCTCGCGGTGAGGGGCAGACCTGTTTGGAGCAGATGAGCGAGGCCATGATGCACATGTGCGGGGTCAGGAAGAGCTTCAGACGCATGATGAGGATGGCGAGGACAGCAAATGCCACCAGCTGCAGACTGTGGTACACCAGCTGGAGGGTAACAGGTTCACAGACAGTCTGTCATCACAACTGACAACAAGGTGCAGAGAAAATAACATGGAAAATAATAAAATAACAGCTCTTGTGAGGTCACCTTTTTCAACCACAATGATCTATCAGTCTCAGCTGCGGCAGATGAAAAACACAAAACTCAGACCAAGATGTCTGATCCAGATGACCACAGCTGGAACCTTTAAAATCCTTCTATATATAATTTCACATCTCGGCAACTTTGATCTCTGAATACAAACTAGATTTAAGATGAACATGAGTATGAAAGTTGATTTTCGTTCACTCTTGTGACTTTTAGTTGCTGCTGAAAAGATTAGTTGATTGACACAAAGTTAATGAACAATGACTGTGACAGTAAATGTGATGCTCAGTTTCTGATCAAGCTGTGACATGTTAAATGTATTTCCTTCTTCATAAAACATTTGCAAAACAGGAGGAGTTGAGGATCCAACCTGTTGATTAGTGGACAACACACTGCACCTCCTCCGCCCTAGAAAAGGCGTGAAACCTTGACCGAGAGTTTGTATTGTCACCATGTCCTGATGCATTCACATTCATACACAAACAAACCAAAGGAGAACCTACTTGCTCCATAGTGCTACTAGTGTTCCAAAACTACACAGTGCACCTTTAAAAAATGTGCAGTTTTTCTCATTTTATATCCATATAGAATAAATATCTTTGGGTTTAGGATGGTTGGTCTGACAAAACTAAGCAATCTGAACACGTCACAATGAGCTTTGAAAGAGTTTCATAATTTTCCAACACTTTAACGATTTTTAGAAGTAGATTCATCAATAACAGGGCTGTACTTTTGTCTTTGAAATTCAAACTACAAGCTGAAGATGGGAAAAATCAAATATTCAGTCTTTATTTATGTCTTCAAATTCCTAAAATGCTCTCTCTGCCTGACCCACTGGCTGCCCTGAGGTCAGTAAACTGTGGTGTTGAATCCAAAGCATTTCCTCACATTACATCACAGACGGAATTAATTGTAATTGTTAATTATTAATTGTTAATTCTGCAGTGTATTTCAGGGTCATGCTACATCGGTTGCATTGGCAATTTTAAATCTTAAGAAAAATCTTTCTGAAGTTTCCCTGTCACCCTAAGAGCTACAGTTTGTGAGCAGGCTGTATATATCGACATTTACATGACGCTTTGATGTTAAGTTTTTTGTTTTTTTTAAACAGTTTTTTTCCTGTGAGGAGCGAGAACCCTCCTAGTGTTACTCATCGAGTCATATAGAAACATTAAAGCAATTATCTGGGAAACCGTGGAAGCTTCCAGACACTGGCGGCTGGTGGCTGAACATCTGAACGTTTCTTTTCCTGCCCTGGGAGGGGGATATTAGAGAAAATGAGACGAAGCAGCAGAACAAAAGGCAGCACAGTGAGATTTCGTAGCAGAAGAGAAGCTGCCTTTCATTTCTTAGTAATGAGAAAAGGGATGAAAATCACTTAGGGACACAGTAACTGAGCAGATGTAAGTGTACTGCATGAATCTAATAAAATAGGTTAAGAGTGATGGAACAACGCTGCAGAAATGTCTGAAAGTTCACACTGAACTGTTACCAAGACGATGCTTGTGCATATACTTAACAATGACATAGGAGGTTTTGTCTCACCTCTCCTTTTGCAGCTATCTCAGACCTGCAACACAGAGCAGACAGAAATATATAAACTACGCTGTGAGAACATTTCAAAATGATTTCTCTTTCTATTTTCCCGATTTAAAAGGTCCCATATTTTACACTTTTCCAGTGTTTTACTGTAGCTTGAGCTCTATTAACAACAGGTCCGTGAGCCAATCAGAGGAGAGGAGGATCGGAGTCTCTCCTCTGATTGGCTGACTGTTTTCTGAGTGATCCAATAAAAATATAGCAGATATCAGATAACACACAGAGACACCAAATCCTGCAAGGTTGGATGGTGAGTCCAGTTGGGCGGGGCCTGCTCAGTTTCTGAATACAGGCTGTGTGCATTTCTCTGTGGACTGAGGCTTTGATACTTTCACAGTATTAATATAGAAGCTAGACCTGATCTATAATCAAACAACACATGGACAGAGACGTTTAGACTATATGGGACCTTTAAAACTGTTGGTCAATACAGGGAAATCAGGGCGGAGGCCTCAGCGTCCCTCACCCTGCAGCTTCATCAGCATCGTCGCTCCTGCCAGACGCCTTCCCTCCGTCCCTCAGGAAGCGGACTACGTCCTGGATGGTCTGAAAAGGGACAAATTGTTGGAATAAAAAAAACCGCCTCTTCCTAACAGCTTGCTCATGTATTCCCTGCCATGCTTTGTCACGTCGACTCATGTATTCTTAGCTTAGCGTGGGCAAGGCATAATGAGATTAGACGACATGAAGAGCAGTTGCTTTCATTTTTTTTTTTTTTTCCTTCTGATGTTCACCCCCCCCCCAAAAAAAAAAATTCACTCAGCTGGCAGTTTATTAGGTACACAAAGCTAAAAACTAATGCAGCCTACTCCAACAACCCTGCAAGAGATCTTGAAGCTTTCAGTGATCAAAGGCATCGATTCAGCTGCGTGATCATTTTGGAGGAGGTAGACTGAGAGGTGTTTCTGTTATTTAGCTGACTCATAAATATAAATGGTGTAGGAAAATAAATCTCCCCCTCTGCTTTCTAAAGGCTTAAATATACCCATGTAAACATTAACTACGCATCCCATTCAGAGCAAATAAGACAACAGCTAGTTTCTGAAAATAAAAACCAGAATTTGAAAAAGGGGCTCTTGCTTGTTTCAAGGCAGCAGCTCTACTCAGGGGTAGAAATGTATGTGCGGTAACCAGAGCAGATAAGACTCCCGGCCTTTCTTTCCTGCAGCGTCTCCAGGCTCTAAAGTGATTTGAACTTCATGTTTGAGTGCCTGCTGTATTGTTCTGAGAGGCGAGACTGGAGACTTCACGCTGCGGACCTGACGCTGTCTGACAGTTGCAGCATCCGTGTGATTTCTGCCACCGCACTCTGCACAGACGAACTCCTCATTTCCCACAGATTTCAAAAAAAAGGAGAGGATGTGCTGTTCATATTTAAACAGTTAGTAGTTTGTGTTGCCGTTTCCTTTTCTCAAGTTTTCATGTCATTCTATTTACTACAAGATGTATTATTTCGTCTTTTTTAAAATGTATTTTCACTCTGTTTTTTTTAACAGTTGATCAGATCAATCAAAAATAAAGCAGGAAAGATGGAAATACATTATTTATCATAAACTTCCAGGTCAAATCTCAATATTGTGTCAAGGGAGCTAAACATAATTTGAAAGTATTGTTGGTGCATTATTAATTCAGTAATTTACATAGTTCCTGGACCCAAACCTGCAGCCTTGACTAGATGCATAATAAGCTCAACTGTGATTGTTTTTTGCAGCCTGCGGCTTTACTACAGTAAAACCATGCTGTTAATTGTTGATTACTAAATGCAAGGACATAATTTCCACTGGGAATCGGGGGATAAGTCACCGCCACGTTTAAAAATCTGTTTTAGTCTCCTGTAGTTTTACAGTCTCTGTTCGATTTCATGACTAAAATCTCTCTAAACAAGCGTCATGCTACTGTCCAGCTACTGAGAGAAGGGTTTCTAAAATCACACTCACTCACTCACACTCACTCACACTCACACACACACACACACACACACACACACACACACACACACACACACACACAACACACACACAAACACACACACACAACACGCACACACACACACACACACACACACACCACGGGACCATTTTCAACGAGCAATTAAGCTTCACAAGCTTCAGCAAGGCATTTGAAAACTTTGCCCTGGGTTTTGTCCGTCAGGTTATATGCAGAACGTCCTCGTGCTGGAGGTTGTTGGGGATAAATGCAGCTTGAAAGGATGACAGCAGCACTTCCAACTTATCTGTGTGCTTTTTGTATATTAAAAAAAAGTTATTAAACAGCATTATTTCATCATAAAGTTTCATGTTTAATTAACTTCTGATGAAGCCTATGATGGAAACACAGCTGCTTCTTTTGCCACAGACTTTGAGTTTCACTTCACACATCTTTACGTCCTCAGTATGCTTTGCAACCAGACCTTCTGTAACACGCTCTCTTATTCTAAAACAAACAGAACTGCTTCCCCATCTCTGAGGAATGATCCACAACCTACGAGGAGACTCACCCTGACAGCAATGAGAGCAACCACCAGCATGTTGATGGGCAGCAGCAACGTTTTGAGATAACGTACAGGGGTCTGAGGGAGAGAGACACACAGTGAGGTAAGGTAAAGTGAGAGAAGAGAGAGTTTGGCGACAGCTATCTGATAATGTTTTAAAAACTCACAATACACAAACCAGGCGGCTGTCTATCACACAACTCTTCCCAAATTGAGCTGCCAGGTTTCTATTTGCTCTTAAATACAGAGCACAGACCTGGCTCCCCCTCCTCACTCAGCCCAGCTTTGATACAGAACAGCAGGTTTTTCTTTTCATATCTGGTATCTTCACGGGAGCCTGAGCGACATTTTGAAAGCTAAAATTTGGCGAGATTTTCACAACAAACGGCCTGAGACTTGTATTTTTTTTTTATCTGTGAACAAGGCTGCGGCACACACACACAGCTCTGTACTTATCACCATTCATTTTGTGGCAGAAAGATAAATGTCAGCTCTGATGGGAGGCCCTGATTTTAGTTAAAACAGACTTTACCTCCAACTCCATGAAGTCAAATTCTGCAGCACACGTGTACATCAGAGTGTGGAAATCCTTGTAGCTGGTGAACTTTGACTTGATCAGTCCACTGATGTGAGCCTGGACAAGAAGACAGATGATAGCTTTTATATACATTTTGTTTTTTTTTATTTCTTCTTCTATTCCCGACTTTAATGTTATTTATTTTTCAGTTTGACCTTTTTCTGATGGTGGAATTAAACATTATAATAAAATAAGGCCATTAGTTTCACAAGGCTAATCTAAACCTTAGCAGCTAAGTTGTAATTTGTGGGTCGATTAACCTCATTACTTTAATAATTAGTCAGTGTATGGAGTATCATCAAACATTTATACATTGTTCTATACTTCGCTATAGTTTTTTGTCCAACTGCTACACTTTTCTACACGTAGCCATAAACAATATTTTCCTAGAAATATGGAAACTCTTTAAGTCAAAAAGTATTATCAGTATCTTCTCAGGAATATAATTAAGTGTGGACATATTTCAAACTGAAAACCTGCAGTTAAAAAAACAAACAAACAGAAGGATGAAGAGCGACTTCACTAATAAACTGACACATACCGTATTTGGATGGACTTAGTGTGAAGTTACCGTCACTTACATCATCAGAGGCGCCGAGGACTGTGGACAACATGAATTTGAGCAGAACTGTGGAGCCGACCCACGCCATCACCTGCATCACCTGAGGGGGAGGAAGAGGAAGACATGTACACACACACACACACACACACACACACAACTCAGACAGGAACCCGGGATCAAAGCCTCGAGGTGCTGTGCGGTTGGGAGCTTTGTTGTTGTTGATTGTAAAAAAAAAAATTCAGCCAAGACCTTTTTTTTTTTTTAACCTCCTTTATCTTCAGCTTTTCAGTTCCTCTGAATGAGAGCTCACAAAACCAAATAAGACAGGAGTCCAGAATTAAGGCTGAATTATCAATTGTGTGTCTCAAATTAGTCACTCTGGTAATTTACTGAATTTAAACATTTAATATAAAATGGCTGCATGTGTTTTTTTTTTCTTGGTAGAATTAGTTCATTCCTTAAACACAAGAAGAAGAATTTTAATTCTACTGGATTATTGGAGATGGTGGAGAAAATGGATTAAATATGAGGCCCGCAACTCAATAATATAGAGGAATTTTCTAAGCTGTAATTACTTCAACGTCAAACTGACAGCATAAATGATTATGTGGGGATTCTTGGTTTTCTTATTCTCTCTTTTTGTATCCTTAATACGTTCATTTTTTTCTCTCTCCTACAATTTATGTTGATTTATTTTTCTTTCCTCGTTTCTCTTTCATGGTAAAACATTCAAGTATTTTAAAAAATATCAGAATTATGAACATCATCATAAGCAAATACAAAAAGTAGAGTAAGTGAGTGTAGTTAGGACAAAAAACACAGAAGCAGGAGTCAGTTGTACGTACCCAGATGACGATGCCGGGTCTGAAAACTTGAGCGAACCGATCCCTCAGTGCAACGATCGCCTGGAAAAATCCCCCCCAAAAAAAGGAAATTAAAACTTTAAACTCACCCAAAATGATAAAGCAGCACATATCGTCTCAGTCACGGCGTTCTGATTTCAGTCCATTTCCTTTTACTTGTACAAATGTACTCATTACTTTGGACTAACTTTTCCTGTCAGGCCTCATCTATCTCAGAACATTCAGCGGCCGCACATACATCAGACGACAAGGTCCAACTCACCCAGATGGAGACGAGCGAGGAGGCGTAGAAGGACGTGAGGAGCATGGAGTTACCGAACATCAGGATGAAGCAGACGCTGAGCGTGATCTGTGGGGGAGGGAGGGAGGAAGGAGGGTGGGGGGGGCGGGGCGGCCGGGGCGGGGGGGGTGCGACAGGAAGAAGGTGTTATTGTGATGAATAACGCCTCCTTAACATCAATCCCGGTGGTGAACAAGGCTGTGGACTGTGCGATCCGGTGGCTTCATGTGCATCATCTGTGTGTGTAATTAGAAATAATGTTCCACACGCGAGCTTGGCAGGGAGCTCAGAGGCGCAGCCAGCGTCTGTAGGTTTTCACTGGTCTCATGAAAAACACTCTGTGTCTCTAAAGCAGGAGGGTGGTCTGGGATAGATCGCATTAAGTGCCAACAATACGTCTTTCTGTGCCACAGTGTTGTTGAAAACACTCCAGAGATTTAAAGCAGTGCATTAAACTTTGAAGAATCGCAGAATATAATCCTATTACATTAACTTTCTGATGCTTAATCCCACTGTGAAGAGTGGAATAATGCTCCACTCTGTATTATGTAGACAGCGGGGTGACCAAAAAGGACATTTTTGCTGTGCTGAAACAATCAATATATTACAGAAAATTAATGGTCAACCATTTTTTAGAACTGATTTGGGCTGCAAAAAAAAATACTTGGTTATGTTCTTGATTTATTGACGGGTCCATAAAATAATGAAGAATATCCATCACAAGTTCCCAAAACCTAAGATGACATTTAAATGTATTATTTACTTAAGTATTATATATTTTCGCTTTGAGAAGCTACAACCTGTGATTTTTTTTTTTTTGATTTTTTTTTCTTAAAAAAGGTCCAATATCTTAGTAATTACCTGTTTTATTTAAAGTTTTGATATCCATATTAGATATATTTGTGGTTTTAAGTCACAAAAAATATCTAATATAGTTTTACATCTCCTTTTCTCTCACACTTCTCTCTGGAGCCATCGCAAGAATGGGGCGTTTTGTGTCCGTTTCTGAGGCCCTCTTCTGATTGGCTGGTCAGAGTGACGCATGGTCACGCCCACCACAGGTAATGGATTGTAGCCTACTACTGTAGAACTCAGCGGTAGATGCGAAGAGCAACGGTCAGTCGGCGATGAAATGAGCCGAACAGACTCAGAGGTATTTGAGAAAAGTCCTGACGGCTGGTTTTAAGGCTCAGTGTCTGAATGTGCATCTCTCTGTGGACCGAGTGCTTTGATACTGTCACAGTATTAATATAATAATAGTAACCTACAGCTGCTTTATAATCAAACAACACATGGGAATCTATATTTATATTATATGGGACCTTTAATAAGAAAATGACTTGAATATCAAAATTGTTGGAGATTAATTTTCTGTTGTTCAACAAGTCGATAAATTGACTTTCACGTATTTAACTGAGTAACTGTGTCTTTTTCAAATTAAAGTACAGAGAATACTTTGGGGTCTGAAAATGTCACTTTGGGAACAGAGAAACAATTGTTTTACATTTTAATCTGAAAAATAGACGGATTCATTGATAATGAAAATATCAGTGATGTGGAGCTCTATCGCAGTAGTGTGCGACTCTGTAACAAGTGGCTCTGCTCAGCATCGTTAACAACTCTGTAGGTCATAGAGGACACACGCCCGGTTGTCTGTCTGTTCTTGAACACGCACACACACACACAAAGCCAAAGTCATCATTGCCAAGCTCTGTAAATTATGCAGAGCCATATGCCTTCCTCTGACACAAATCTCCACCATCTTACCACAAAGGGCCTCCTCCTTATCTGTGGAGCACACAGGCCCTGGCTAACAGCCTGGCATGCTGAGGGGATTAGGGGGAAAGAATGTGGAGCAGAGGGACGAGCGGCCAGAGTAACACACACACGCACACACACACACACACACACAAAAACATCTTTACACATTCTCACATACAGAGATATACTTTTGTCCTTGGCAGAGTGAACCACATATCCTCCCCTCTTTAATGCTAAAAAGGCACTGGTACGCGCACTTGAGCATAATTAACACTGAAGAAAGTCATTTCCGTCTCCACTGGCGTCGTCCTTCCAGCTCGTGTGAAATTCTTCGAGCCGAGGAGGCGGGTGAGATAAGGAGAAGTGAGGCAGAGCACATTACACCTCAGAGGACAGTAGCTGGAAAGACTTGTGTTGGGTGCAACACATGATCCAAACACACACACACACACACACATAGCTTTTTCCTCCTAATTTCAGTGTTATTCAGGGTGTTTGTCTTAATTAATTCTTAATAATTTCGTCACAGTGCCTCTGCATGATGCACCAGCGACCAGTTAATGTCAGGTAAGGAAAAAAGAAACACTGCAGGATTTGGAGGAGACATCTACTGTACCATATGAGTGACCAGGATGGACTGCATCTTGGCGGCGCCGAGGTAACCCAGGATGTAGGAGGCAAACAAAGAAGCCACCTGAAACAAAAAAACAGTCAACCACACACTCCAGAAAACATCCATAGTCAATAAAAATGCATCAGTGTTTGCTCTGACTTTATTATATTATATGTATTATATTAGTTCAATTTAAACCACTCTGGGTTTTCAACTACTACATCTGCTTACAGATAGGACACGTAGACAGTTTACAAATCTCAGCTTTATAAATCCTTACAAGACGCTGTGTTCTTTACAGCAACCAGTCAAGGTAAGGATAATCGATCAATCAAAATACGATAAAATAAAAATCTGAGAGCTGAAACTAGGACTGTACTCCCACTGTAAAGCCTCTGTTTTCATGGCTGTAAAATGTGATAACGGCGCAGCAGTGTGTGTTCTCACATCTGCGCTGCCAGACACTGTGATGAGCTTGATGTGGGTTTCTTATGAATAGTCCGCCTACTCTGTTCAGCTTCGACTAGAGAGCACGGCACCTGTGACAGACGGCGGACAGAAAGATCTCCTTCCTGTTGTCTGCAGAGCTGCACAGGGCGCAGAGACCGAGAGTCTCAATAATGGCACAATGATATTATATAAGAAGCATATAATAAACTCACTGTTGCGTAGCTACAACAGAACATGCTTCTACACGATAAACTCAAACTCATATAAAGTTGGATTAAGTCACAAATGAACACCAGCGAAAGTAGAAAATAAGAAAGTTACTTTAGGAATGTTCCAAAAACTATACTGATGTTAGAAATTAGATTTTTAATTACGTTAAATCCGACATGGACCAGGCCTGAAATGATAAAGTCTGTAGCTTCACTAAGTTAAACTTTAAAAGACCATTTTAACACCACACAGAATGTGATTTAATTCTTGTTTTACGGTCATACTGGCCCATGTGTGAAGGACATGCATCAGTGAAAACCAGCAGGGATGATATAGCCCTGAATGATTTACCAAGTGCAGGAATTTATTGACATTTATATCACATTTTTGTTGCTACGTCCCAGGTGTATCACAATCCGTCCTAATAATATCATTAATTAATCATTAAACACAATGTGAACCTGGATAAGAGTCAGACAATGGATGGGTAAATGGATGGGAGGATTAACCGACTAAAAAATAACCTTAAGGTCCACATGTGAATATTAGTGGTCTGCAATAATGGAACTAAGACCTAAGAGAATATTTAAGACCTTTATAAATGAAGGAAATTTTTGAAATCAGTGCTTTTTAAAGACCCATTATGTAAACCAGTGCTGCCGTTCTTCATTTCAGTGCCTGCTGATAGTGCTTTTGTTTTTATGGAGTCCTGCTGAATAATAAAACACATCTCCTGTTGCATCCGTGAATATATATTAGACAAATCTATTAACACATTTCCAGTTTACACTTTTCATAAACATGTAATTAGTATTCTTTAAATAAGTCACTTCATGAAATTAGACACCAACAGTGTAGGAGTAATATTGTTGAGTGTTTTCTGTTGGCAGCTGATGGATCTCTATGGTGAGAAGAAATTTTACAAATTAACTTCTGTTAGACTGTGCTGAGATTCATTATATCGGTGGCTGAGATGCTTGTTAGAGCGTCAACCCACACGGCTCATTATCTCTAATTAGTCTCACCTTTACAGTCTTTAGATTTGGCCTTTTTCTGCAGTGGAGTTAGTGCCCTAAATATATATTGTGCATCCACTCCACATCGGTGGTGCATGTGTAGCAGTTGATTCATTGAATACAAAACGGTGTTGTGTTGATACTGCATAAACTGAAACAAAATTAACCGTACACTGAATAAATATGAGGGGTACGCAATAATAAAGGGGATGTGAGGGACCATAATAATACAGAGATCATTACTGTCAGTCGTCTCTCTCTTTGTAGACTGAGGACTGAGCAGTGACGGTGCATACGCAGCATCTGGTTTGTTTACACACAAGCGTGGTTGAGGTGTTCAATTAGCATCTTAGAAAATATAAAAACAAAGACATAACGGCTGTTAAATAACTCGTCTCTTGTTAAAATGGCCTGAGGGAGCCGCCGACAGCGTGGGCTGAACTGTTGCTGAGCACAGATGCTCGAAGCAGTGACCCCTTTGTTCTGGAGTCAAGGTTAAAACTGCAGCTCTTCTATCTGCCAGCCTACACTCTCCAACGTATTACTTGCCCGTCTGAAAGAATCTCAACTCCACAGCCTCAACTACACCACCTCTAATATTATTAGGTTTTTAGATGCATATTTTTCTACTGTGTGTTAGAAGAGCTTGAATAAAATGAAGATGAAAATGGTGTATTCTTGTAATTTCACCTCTCTCTCAGGGCTGGGCAATTAATCAAATTTTATTTTCCATTACGATTTGGGCTTCCAACGATTATGAACAAGATAATCGAGATAAAACGTTTATTGTATCACATTCTCTTTTGCACTAATTTTTTTATTTGTTTTTCTATTGAATTGTATTTAAAGTTCAAGAAAGTCCACTCAGTAAATGCGTTGCGTTTCCAAAGTAAATGAATAATCGTGTTAAATAATCGTGATCTAAATTTTTTTGCCATAATAGAGCAGCCCTACTCTCTCTGTCTCTTCTCTCTCTCTCTCTCTCGATCCTGCCTCTTCATTTCTTTGCCAATGTCTGAACTCTTTCCCTCCCTGTCGGAGTCCTCTGGTCTCTCCAAGTCTCTATTCTCTCTCTCTAATCTCCTCTGTCCAATCTCCTTTCTTCCCACATTCCCTCTCAATGTTTCTCTGGCGCTCTGTTTACCTGAGTGAGCAGCACAAACTGGGCGAACTGCCAAGGCAGCATGAAGCACAAATTGGAGATGCCCAGAGCGACCATGGCCGTCCTGCTCGGGTTCCGTGTCCTGGGGAGAGAAGAGCGAGACAGAAGAGAGGGGGGAAAAAAAAAAGAAAGAAAGAAATAGAAATGGAGTGGTGAGAGAGTGTGGGTGTAAAGGAGATAAGAGAAGATGTATTAAGACGACTGAGAGAACACACACACACACACACACACACACACACACACACACACACACACACACACACACACACACACACACACGTTCAAATTTCACTTTGAGTGTACTACAAAGACCTGGCTATGTAGTGAGAAATACAAACTGTTAAATTGATATGAGTCACAGTTTACCGACTGCACTCGCACAACTCGAGGTGGCGTCCGCTGGCTGAAGTGCAGAGAGAAGATTACTGGTCTGTGACAAGTACTTTATCTCACCAAAGAGCCAGCTTCAGAGGAGCAGGCTGACAACAGAGGCAAGCTCCACTTCACCCCAGTAATTACAACACAAAGGACAAACTGTTAGAAACTGTAGCTTGTGATGCTTTAAGAGGGAAACAGCTCTCTGATCTCCTCTGGTTATTTCACATATTTACAGTTCAACAGGCTGTTAAATGGAAAGAAAACCACATTCTTCTCTAGCTTTTTGATGGATCCACGTATCACAAATTTGGTCATTCTTCAACAGAAATAACAGATAAACACTGTTACACACAGATAGGTGGTGCGGCAGATGTAATAATTAGAGGACACCTAGACGAAGCTAATTTGTAGCCCACGCATCGATGAGGCTTTTAAATCGAGGTTTAACGTCCAAACAAATAACTTGATAGAACAGGACAAATAAAACTGACTGTGTACATGTGTGAACCCTGACATCCTGGTGTGTGCGTGTAGTATGAATCCAATCCAAGCAAAAGCTGTTCAGAGTTCACGTCTTTGTCTTCTTTGTCATTGTTTGAGCAAGTGTTTCACTTGTGGAGTGAAGACACAATAAAATGTAAATCACAAGCATAAAGATATAATTGGATTCAAGGGAGTGAATACCAAATGTTCACTGAAATAAAAGATTAATTGCACAGGGGTAAGAATAATGGCAACGCAAGATTTCAACATAAAATTAAAGAAAGAAAATGACTCTTCTTTATTTTGGTATTTTTTATGTACTGATGTGGAGAATTTGCCAACAAGTAAAAGAAAAAGACTTATTGGGGACATGTGGAGGAGTGATTTCAGACGGAGACTGAAGGTGAGTTTACCGTAGGATGTAGGTGAGAAGCAGCATTTGCAGGACTAAGAATGGGTAAGCAAAGCTCTCCCTCAGCGGTGGAGTCCACATCACACGGGTGCTCTGATAACAGACAGGAACACATACAAGAAAAAGTTATTAAATCCTGTATGGACACATGATTTTGTGTTAATACACAAAGACGAGGAGGCTCGTGTGTTCTTCATGCCGACCTTTCATGGTCTGGGACACTGTAGGGAGCGGGACATTTCTACCATCCGTTTACTGATGTGTTCCACATTCTTTCTGCTGCTGGCAGATGTTTCTCAGAGGACTGACATTACATTTATCTGACAGATGTTTTTGTCCAAAGCTTTATTTTATTGTTGGTCAGCAGGTTGCGCTGTTTCCACAAATGCTGAAAATGTTCGTACGTCTCATATTATGACATACTACTAATATGTTTAGTGCAGAGATGTCCTCAGCAGATCCTCCACTGGTATCAACTGAAATAAAACAAATCACATACTTATGCTTAACTGTTCTGTTTTCTACCAGCTGGTGCTGTAAAGCTGATCTTCTTTATGACAAGCCATGCACTCAGCCAAAGGTCATCTGTGAGGGAAGAACCTCCACTCTGTAACACTTCTGTAGAACCACAGTGTTGTTCCAACAAGTCCAACAAAGTGTCACACTGTTATTTCAGTGTGAGGATGCATATCTAATCAACACACCACAGATCTTCTGCTCCTATGTACGGTATATATTTAGTTTTAACGTGTATACCGAGCACCAGAGGCGCACAAATTTCAAGCAAAGACCCCTGAACTGACACCATTTAGATTACAGGTCCTCCCACGTTACCCCCAACTGGTAAGATTTTTGCTTTTAGATGTTTTATTACACAATAATCATACATTCTGGCATTGTGTTACTTATGGATCGATTATAATGGAAATGAATTATTCCCCCTTTTGCTAGGGACCCCCAGAAACCCCATAAAGGACCCCTGAGGGTCCCCGGACCGCACTTTGAGAACCACTGGTGTAAGTAATGGATTGGACTCTGTATCAGCAGATACTCTGTATTAAAAGGACCTGGATCTGTATAGAGGAACTAAAACAACGTGATCGTGACATCAGTTTTCCGTCCCCTGGCTGCTACATATTCTAGATGGTTTGTAAAAGAGGAACTTCACTCTGTCACTTGATAAAATCCCACACCGTTACTTCTACACAATAACACACTTCGCGCTATAATCTCACACGTTTGTCACCTCAGAGCATCTCATTTCCAACCCCAAATGTGAAAATCCTGCTCCTGAAATGTCACAAAGGGTGTCTGAAGGGACGGAGAAACACTGAGTGTAAGTGTGTGTGTGTGTGTGTGTGTGTGTGTGTGGTTGAAATGTCAGTGTATTGATCTGGAAAAATAGAGACTCGCTATTTGTTCTGGAGGAAACTGGAGAAGAGGAGGTGGGTGGAGGGACTCAGCTTTGAGTGCCAGCCCAAAACAACTCTAAGCTCCTTTGAGGGCTGAAATGAGCTCCTATTAACCACCCTCTGCTTCTCTGAGTGCTTTTTCATTCTGAGTTTTACACATTTCAGAGGCTTACACCCAGAGAGGCTTCCACTGAGCTACAAAGCTTCGCCATTTAAAAAAATACAGACACTGATAGTAAGGGGGGAAAAGGACTGTGCGCTCACCTCGCCGTGATTGAAGAAGAAACACATTGTGGTAACAATACCGCCCAGCCGGCTGCCACTAGAGAGAGAGAGAGAGAGAGAGAGAGAAGACAAAAAAAAAGAAAATGAGGATGCATGATAAGAGAGGCAGATAGCAGCAGACAGATTCAGAAAGGTCATCCTCCATCCGATCTTTCAAATCCATATTTTTGTCAGGTGCAAACCAAAAAACAGTTTTTTTTCTGTCTGGGTGTGACAGCTGAGAGATGAGATGGACCATAAAATTCATCCTCTCCTCTCTCCGATGCCCGCCGGAGCGTGACAGGACAGAGCGCCGGGCGGGAAGGAGCTACCTGAGGTAGGCGCCGTAAATGAAGAACAGGCTCATCATCACGCCGTTCAGCAGGAACACGCAGGCCACGTAGAAATATGCCGGGTCACCCATGCCTAATGTGCACAACACACACACACACACACACACACACACACACACACACACACACACACACACAGAATGAAGGATTACTGATGGAGACAAGAGCTCGAGGAGACTAAAGCTGGTGCTACAAAGATCGATCAATTAATGAGACAGTAAACAAGAGAATGATTTGACAACTATTTTGATAATTGATGAATCATTGACTCGTCGTTTATCAACCGAAAATTAGCAAAATATTAGCATGCTAACACACTAAGGTAAGATAGTGAACATGGTAAACATGCTAAGAGCTGCTAAGAATCAGCATGTTATCACTGTGGACTCTTCTTTTAATACATTCTGAAATTTTATAGAAAACATTATTAACAAAAAACATAATTAACAGATTAATAACTAATGATCACAATCATTAGTTGCAGCTCTGACTGTAAGAGGAGATGAAACGGTGAATCTTTGTTCACAACGTTTTTCTGAATTCTGCTGCACCTTCAGTCTTTACTAATGTGGAAGTGACACAAGTCTCCTTCAAACTGTGCCTCTTGCATTCTGGGTGCGGTGTAATTTGGAGAACTCCAATGTGATTAAGTCAGGTCAGTGCAAAAATAGCCCCTGAAAGAGGTAGCAACTCTGCAAAGCTCCTGGCCAGGATGATAAATTCACGGCGCTCTGCTCCACCTACGAGGACGCCACATACCCTGATCCCCTGCTGCAGGTTTTTCTGTGGCCTGAGTTTATTTTCAGCCACATTTTCCCCCTTCTGTGATTTCATGTTGGCTCCAAAACACCATTTGGAAACTGTCCCATGCACAAAAATCTATAGGAGACATATAAGCTCTAAAATGTACAATTTGTGTATGTGCATACAATAATTCGTGTTTTTCTGTTACATGATTGTGTGACCTTAAGTATGCAATTCATACTTAGGTTTAAGCTGTGTTTTGTTTGATCCATGTCACATACAAAACTTACTGTCCAGGGTCTAACACTGAATAACGATGCACTGAATCACGACACAAAACACTATCATGCTAAAATATAAAGAACAGCGCAGCTGTACAACTTGCAATTAAAAAAGATTTTACACACCGAGGTCATTCATGCTTAAAAAACTCCCTAACAAACGAATGGCCATATTTTCTGGTGGGAAACCGGTGAGGGATCATAAAAGGAGTTTAGATTAGATTAGAGAACATTTAACATTTGGGGAAGTCTTACAGAACATATTCCCGTTGACCAACTCGTGTGTTAACCAGCAGCAGGAGATGTAAAATTAAAATCACACTGAATAATAATGAGTTGAGTTTTGATACAGAAAACGAGGTTCCTCAATTTGTGCCAGTGGGTAAACACAGGGTTTTCATGGCAACAAATGGACTTTACTTCACACCCTTATTTAAACTGCATTTCAAGCACCATCGAATAATTTCCTCTCAGCGACGCTGCCAGACAAAATTAGCAGGCACACGGAGCAGATTGACAAGGCTGTAATGACTAACAAGATACGTGGAAATGTGCTGACATTACTAAGAGCTGTTTCATCAACACGATGTGACTGGAAATTACCGGAAAAACCACTGAGAAAAAAACGAAAACAAAAACACACTGGGGAAAAAAAACAACAACAACAGCTCAGCCTGAAAATCGAACATATTCTCTGCCCTTCGCTGTGTCATTCTACATCTCATGAAACTAATACAGCGACTGACTGTTACAGTAAATGTTTCCTCTTTCTGACTGTTGGCTCTTGTGCAAGGCAGCTTGCGTCAGGTTTATGTAAACACTGTGAAAGCATTGACCCTGTAGTGGCTCGCTTCACTAATGAGACTGACAGAAACGCGCAGAGACTTGCAGCTCAACAAAGGAAAGCTGAAACCTGTTTTTCGCTTGTTTACTCTCAGCAGATTCTTCTGGGAAATGCGTCTGAAAATAAAAAAAAAAAACTACTTCTGTGTAATATGTTAACATTTTTCTTTCCCTCAGGGCTGCTGTAATGATTATTGTTTCCCTTGCTGCTGCTGTGTTCTACCTGTTGTTCTGCAATGTTTTGCCATCTTGTTTTGCAGCTTTTCAGATGTGAGTCTTTCTTTGTTAATATCAGTATTCTATCTCATCTAAGTTTTTTTTTTTGTTTGTATGGACAATAGTGCTGAAATGATTAGTCAGTTAACTGATTACTAATCTACTATCAATTGGCTAGAATTCTAATAAGTAATTAATTGTTTGAAGCCATTTTTCAAGCAGAAATGTGAAACATCACCTAGTTTCATCTTGTCAAATGTGAGGATTTGCTGCTTTTCTTTTGTCTTATGTGACAGTTAAGTCTTTGATTCAAGGAATATATATTACTCCACTTCTTGGCCGGGCTAGTGACTTCCGCGTCTCTGCTGGTTGCCTGGCAACCTCACAGACCTTTTACAGATTAAACACACAAGATATAATGTGTTAATTAGTGAGATTCAGAGTTGCTGGAGGCCAGATTTTGTTATCTCTGGACAGAGCCCAGGCTAGTTGTTTCCAGTTTCGACGCTAAGCTAAGGTGAGCTCTTCACTGTATCGCAATATTTTGTATCCTTCCTGAAGCCATTGCCTCGACACAACCCTGTCTCTGAGCTCTGCAGACAGCTCCTTCACCTCGCGGCTTGGTTTTTGCTCTGATCTGCACTGTCAGGTGTGAGACCTTAAAATGTGCCTTTCCACATCATGTCCAATCAGTTGAATTTACTGCAGGTGAAACTTCTCAAAGACGATGAAGAGAAACGGAAGGAATCTGAGCTAAATTTCACGTGTCACAGCAAAAGGGTCTGAATACTTATGTCAATGTCATATTTCAGTTTTCTTCTTTTTAATAAATTTGCAAAAGAAAATTCTAAAACTCTGTTTTTACTTTGTCATTCTGGAGTATTGAGTAGAGATTGATGAGAGATTTTCTTTATTTAAGCATTTAAGCATTTAAGGCTGCAACAGAACAAAATGTGAGAAAAATTGGAGGGGTCTGAACACTTTCTGAATGAGCTGTAATCATCTGCCGGCTGTAGCCTTATTTTGAACTGACAGACGTGAAACTGCTGTGAATCCACTCATGGAACTCTTGGCAAGAAAGAAAATAAGCATATTTCCTAAATGCCAAACATTTTTTCTGGCTCCAGCTCTTCAGTGTGAGGATCTGCTGCTTTTTGGGGTTTTTTTTTATTATGCTGCTTTATCTCATTTCAATGTCTTGTTGGTGAAACAAAAGCAGTTTAAAGATCTTTGACTTGTTTCACCATTTTCTGACTAAACAATTCACTGATTAATTAAAAAAAGTAATCAGATTAATCAGTAATGGATATAATTGTTGATTGCCGTCTTAAGTTATAATATTATTCTTGTGCTTTGCTGCTTTTAATCTGTGCATATGAAAATCATACCTGAGGATTAGAGTAAAAAATCTGATCCTTTAATAATCAGTTGAGCAAAAACAGGAATCAAGAGTGCTTGATGGCTTTGTTCAGTTCCTTCTATAAAATTTATTCATTTTCTCTTAACTGCCAACTCCCCATGAGGCCGCTCTGACTGCGCCTGTCCACGAGTGAAGAAAATCATCAAAGACTGTGAAGAAATTAGTCATCCGGTCAATTCAACAGTGAGAGTATTTCAAATGTCATTGGAGCTCCAGGCAGTAATGTGATACTATGTGCTTGGGTAATGTAGATACACAACCTGCTGTGTGTCTGTGTTTCTGTGTGTCTGTGTTTCTGTGTGTGTGTGTGTGTGTGTCTGTGTGTGTGTGTGTGTGTGTGTGTGTGTATGCAGGCACCGATGAGCCTATTTGAGACTGGAGACTGGAGCTCCATGGCGACAGTCTTTACCTTCGCAGCTATCCACAGGAGTGAGTCCCTCTCCTCTGTTGATGGACCAGCACATCTTCGTGGGAATCCCAAAGTAGCCCATTACACCTGTGTACATCCGGTACCAGCTGGCCAGGACCACCTGGGGAGAGGGGGCGGACAGCGGGAGACATGACAGCTAGTGAAAAGCCTATTCAAACAACATGTCTGAAAGGACCTTTCTGTCCTGTTATCTCTGAGGAGAGCAGACACATGGGATTCTCATTGTACTCCTGCAGAAGTCGTTTACTGACTGCTTCCCTGAGCTGGAAATGTTGATCTTCTCTGCACTGCTTTGTGGATTAGCTCTGGTGAATCCAGGAAATAAAAACAGCTCATTAATGAGCGAAATCAGTTTTAAACTGAGTTCTTAAGCTGCCTTGTAATATTGCTCAGCTGTACAACCTCTGTCATACTCTTTGTTGGAAGGTGCTCTTCTTTCTTTTTTGGCTCAGATCCTGATCTGAGTCTTTTCATATTTATTATTGACAATACAGAGTCTGATCTGATGATTACTTAAATGTTGATGCATCCAACTCACTGAAATAATAAAATAAATAACATACTGAGAGTTCAGATTCACAGCTATTATCTCTGAAGATCTATTGTGAATTGCTGGAACTAGAAAAACACTCAGTCCACTCTGATGATACAGTGGCGTTTCTGTACAGAGTGCAGCTTCTTCCCTCACAGATGATCTTTGAGTACAGAAAGCAGCTGCAGAGTGCACATAAACCAGACTGGAGTAGCACAATTAACCGAGCCGTTAGTTGCAGCCCTAAACCAGACGAGAGGCAGGTTTAATTTTGGCCTGTCCTTGAGTTAATGAGAAGCTGCTTCAGCACTTGGGTGTTTCTACACTGCCCTTTGCTAATAAGCTCAGTGGATCCATGAGTTTTAACTGAACTCAGAGACACTCACCAATGCACCAAAAAATAAAAGAATTTCTTGACACTGATTTATTGTAAGATTTGAACTTTTAGTGTGAGTCTGATAACAACAAATAAAATAGGTTAACAGTGACATGGGCGACGCTACCACACTGCAAATCATATGAATAACATGTCAACATTACCTCTGGATAGAGATTAAATCTCTTCAGTGTGTTAATAACCAGGGGATACTCTGTCAGCCGATCGTTCATGACCATGTGGAGGCCGTCCAGGAAAGAGGGAGCCTCAATAATGGTTTTGTAGTAGGAATAGTACAGACCCTGGAACCAAGACAAAGTACATATGATAGATTAAACTCATGAACTCAAAATGAGAGAGAGGTTTGGTGGTGAATGAACCCAGGAACTCATTACTGACTTCTGTTGCATGGCAGATAAACAGAGACTCCATCACCATTTTTCAAATTCCTTGGAACACACATTAATTGAAGTGGAAAACTAACATTGAACACATCGTTGCAAAAGCTCAACAGTGACTATACTTCCTCAGACGTCGTAAAAAACAAAACAAAAACAAAACAAAAAAAAAAAATGGATCAAGCAACAACTTCTCGTCGTGTTCTTCTCAGCCATCACTGACTCCATTATCTCATCCTCTGTTGACAAGGCAAACCACTTCCCTCAGCTGAATCTCTACACACTCACAGAACTGCAAAGCGAGCAGACAAGATCATCTCCGACCCCTCACATCCTGCTCATCACCTCCTCCAGCTCCTTCCCTCTGGGAGGCGCTACAGGTCGTCGTCCACTAAATGACTAAACGTTTCACAAACAGCTTTTTCCCCTTAGCTACTAGGACCCTGAACTCCTTCCTGTAGCCCCTTCCTCACATTTCAGTAACATGTATTCCCACGATTGTCTTTTGTTGTCCCATCTATCCATCTATCTGTGAAATGTCAAGTGAGTGATGGAGACAGGCAGAACAAGAGAAACAAAGGAGAAAGCAGAGACTCAGGAGGAGACACAGCAGAGTGATCCAGAGAGACAGAGACAGACACTAAATATAACTCTACAACAGACAACTCAGACAGAGGAAGCAGGCGTGAGTTACACAGACTCACAGCCCATCTGGTAGCACACAGCAAGAAAAATATTCAGCTTACATATGATTAAACTGTCACCTTCAGTGTCATCTCTTAAAAAAGGTTGTGAAGCCTGAGCTGCATGTCGAGCATCAGCAGCTTTTACAGTTATTGCGGTGCATTAAACATATGCTGCATTAAATCACACATGTTTTTTCAGATCTTGCTCTTATGCAGCTGACTTTGCAGCATTCGAGGCAAAACGTGACAGAAAACCACAGATATTAGGCATGTGCCAACATTTTATTACAGCATCTGACAGCTGCAGAGTCCACAATTGTTTATACTGTTATGAAAAGAAATTATAATTTTCTCTGACTGTGCAGATGATACGAAGTTGAAGGAGTTGAGCTTTGGTCATATAGCTCTTCTGGCTTACGAATATTCACTTCACTTGAAACCTGTGCAACTGACACACAACACCTCTGCATTTTTATCTGTTTTGGCTCAATCCACAGGCTTTCAGCTCTGTGGGACTCACTGGTCGAAGTTCACCTTCAGTTCAGCTTTTGCTTTGCAAATTCGCTCCGTCGTCAAATAGAAATACTGATGCAAGATGTCAAAGTCTTTATTCTAGTGCTGTGTCATCACCCCTGTTCTGGACAATAATCCACTGCCAGATTACAAACTGCAGAATCGCTCAAATGGACTCTACAGTTTTTGATCGCGCTGCTTAATATTTATTAATAAACCACATTCGAACCATGACATCACATCCTTTTCTGAGGCTGAAAGCTTTTGAACAGAAGGATAAAGCAACAGTACCTTTATGGTGATTATGGCTGAAAACTCACAATCATATTTATTATCATTAATATGCCCTTATTTTCTTCTTCTTCTTCGATTAATTATTGTCAGAAAACATAGAAACATCCCTGTACTTAAGAAGCAAATGTCTTGTTTAACTAGGGAATGATCTGCTTGATTCAAACAAATGACTGATCGTCAAATAGCTACAGATTAATTTTCCGTCAGTCGACTAGTCGATTAATGGTTTCCGCTCTAACGATGACATGTCCTCACATCTTTCAATCTGTTGAAACAATCTGACTGCAAAGGCAAAGGAGGGTGGATATGTGCACGTTGCCTATCCACCACAGCACAGTCCTTATTAGGTTGACTTCAGAACCCAGTCACACACAGTATAACAAGAGTCTCATATTAACAGAATCACAGTATTAGAGCTTAAATAACAGACTGAGTTTGAGTCATTTTTCAAGCAAAGATGTCAAATATTTCCTGGTAACAGCTTCTTTCTGTTTTATATGTCTATATATTGAATCTCAATTGGTTTTGGACAGCTGTTCATACAAAACAGGTATGAAGAAGAAGAATGAGATAAGCTGCGCATTTTTCAACAAATTCTGACAAATTATACCTAAAATGATTAGAAAAAAATCCATCCATCCAAGTCCTTCTTCCATGCAAAAATGCATTCTAGTGTTAATCTGATACTAATATGATGTTTCAGCTGTCTGTGCTAGACAAATAATGAGGATATCTACCAATGTTACAGTATCTGTTAACACCAAATTAGCTTGTTTGCATGCTGAGCTGTGACACAGGGAAAGTAACTAACTAGCAAGTAGACTTCTGAAGTGTCATTATCTTCAGATAAACTCTGAAATGTATTTTTACACAGAATGACAACTTTAGGTTTTGTCCCGTATCACTTACATTGAAATGACGAGTAAAACCTGTTACAATCTTTTACGATTACTGTTTGAAGACAGACTTGAAAAAATGTGAACTTCTCCTTTAAGATTAATCAGTCTTGTACCTGAAATTGTACTTAAGAGTCAAGCATGTGGCTGTTGGCTAACATCAGCCTCAAAACACCATCCCCAATAAAAACAAGGAAGCATTTACCATTTCTGTCCGAAAAGCCATCTCCTTCTCCAGGTTTGACAGATGTGAAAAGTGTCTGTCATTCTCAAACAGCTGTGAGAGGTGATACCTAATCAAAAGGAGGAGAAAATGTGTTAAACAAGAAGCTGCATCTCATAGCAATTTACAGCAGTGCTGTTTGAGTAATAACATGCTGATAGAGCAACTTACCAGTGCAGATATCCAGTCAAAGCAGCTGTGGACAGAGAGAAGTAACTTTCAGTGTTGCAAAATAAATCTCACTTTCTGTTTGTAAAACTGCAATGACATCCAGAGAAAAGCCACTGGGGTGGAAACTTGGATAATGATATTTGATGCATTTACTCTTGTGCATTTCGAGGAGAAATCATAGTAATATTAGCTTGAACTTTGCCAGAAAACCTGATAACACGTGTGTAGCTGCAGAGAAGAACCCAGGGTACTTTGATGGGATTTTGATGAATGGCAACAATAGGAAGCTAACTGGTGAGCTAGTGTTTAGGTGAGCTAACGTTAGCCAACAGATCAGCAGCAGCGATAACTTAATTTAGCGGATCCGCTAATGCTAAAAAAAAAAAACACAACGTTAGCAGTCGTTAGCAGCTAACAGGCTAACGCTCCTAACTTACCGAGGAGAAGAGTGATTCCCAGCTTCACGACTGCAGAGGGAGTTAGCCCAAGCTTGTGTCTGATGCCCGAGAGCCCGTTTGGATGAGAGCCGGTGAAAGCTTTGCCCTCCCTGCCTGGTCGCCTGATGTTACTTTTGCCAGGGGGCGAAACAAGCGGGCTCTTGTCGCGGTCAGCCTGGGTCGCTGGACTCTTCCCGGTCTGTTTTCTGTTTTTAGCCACCATGGTTTCCAGGAAGAGCCGAGGTTAGGCAGCCGCGGAGCCGTTGGAGGGGGGAAAAAACACAACCCGAGGTGTGTGTTTGTGTGTATATATGTGTATGTGTGTGTGTATATGTGTGTGTGAGCGGAGCTAAGCAGCCCCACGGTTGCTCGTATCTGGTCCTCGGATCTGCCCCTTTACTACCTGAGCGACGCTTCCACTGACTCTCGTAGAAATCTGATGAAGCTTCGCCCCCAACCGGACGTTGAGCGGCACTACAGAGCTTCTGGCGGTAACCATGGCAACGTCAAGTAGTAGGTACCGAAGAGTAATACAGTAAAAAAAAAAAAGGACAAAAAAAAAACCAAAAACACATTAGGGGTCACGGTAAAAGTGCAGTTTAACAACCTGCACATCATTGGCACTTTGTGGCCTTATTCCAGTATTTTCTGACAAAATAGGCCGATATTCAATTTATTTACCAACAGAAATGCCTCCCTCAGAGCAGAGAAACAACATTTACACCTTCATTCTCGGGAATAAAAAAAACACAGTTATTTACGGTAAATTAGCAGGGTATGAAATATGAATTTATGTATGTGTACACATATATATGTACATGTTTATGTATATACATATATCATCACATATGTATGTACATACAATATATTAAAGAACATCTATGTGATGAACATTTTGCGACCATATCTATTAACTATATTCAATTTATATATGTATGTTCATTAAAACAACATAAATATAAAAATTCTAGTTTTATCTTGTGCCTTCTTGTTTATATGTGTTTTCATTATTAATTTCTCATTAACTTTAAACATGTCTATCCTTCTAATGTGGGAAAGTGGTCTCAGACTTATATTGACAGGCTTCGGGCATGGATATAAAAATATGTAACATATGTCTACAATATAAGCATACATACATAAATATACATATTTGTATGGGGTACATATATGGTAATACATGAAATTGTTCCAATTTCTAACAGGTTTCATATTCAGGCTAATTTTGTGCTTTTATTTTTTTTATCTTATACGTATATATATTTCATATATGGAAAGTCTCACATAATGCACAATAGTCAAAAGTATATAAGAGCAAATACAATTATCACAAAAGTCAATCAAAAAGAGCTGTGCAAAAAATAGTGAGCAGGGAACGTCTCCCTGATGATTACAGTATGTTCATGGCGCCCCCCACTGGTCCCCACTCTGCACCACAGCCTTCTCTGCAGGAACAAGTTCATTTGGTCCTTTAAAAACATATTGAGAACGTCCCATTTTGGTTCACCATAACGTTTTAATGGGGATGCTAAGGTTTTGTTTTTTTTTAAATAGCCTTTAATAGACTTTAATACAGCCAGATCCCAATAAGGCTTTTCCTATTTCATTTTGTTTTGAAGTGTAGGCACATCCCAGGGTTGGAACAGTTCCCAACAACTTCCAAATGCAATCTCTGTTAAATTAGGCATTTGTGTAACACACAAAAGCATGTGCCTCTTAGTTAACCATCTTATTCCACAGAGCAAGGTTAGAACAAGGCGTTCTGATGTTTAGGATACATTAGATCTGAATCTCAAAATGATTACAAAAGGCTAAAGTAGATTGATATAATGGTCTGATAAACATTGCCTTTAACCTCATTAACCAGAGCAGGAGAACATGTTTTCTGTTCAGAGTATTTACATTTATGGATATAATCTGGCTGTAATTTGCCCTCAGTGTTTCTGAGAGTATCAAGCAAGTTCCACCAGCACTTTGAAACCAGTAGATGGCCCTAAAGGACCACCGTATACTGTATCTGAACCCTGAACTCACTGTTCAACATCTCACATTGCACCTCACAGCAGTGGCTCTGATTGCCTGCTGCTGATTAGAGATTATTTACTTATATATCATTTACTCTATAATCTTTATGTGGGCTTCATACTCATTCACACATTTTTTAATTCTTAAAAAGTAGTTGTTTTTCTTCATATCTTTGCTTTTCTTCAGTTTCACATTTTATCACCGGCCTTATCACCATCATCCCTGGATGGAAGCAGATTTCTGCAGATTCCTGGGCCATAAAATGGAAACAGAAAATCCTATTTTCATAAAAATATGGCAGTTGAGGACTCTGGCAGTTTAGCAGACAGTGTGAGGCCGATGCCTTTGGGCCATAGTTTCAATCTGGATGGTGTGGCGCTCTCTCTGGCGACAGAGACAGGAACATCGGGAAAGATGAGTTGATCTCATCTGTTTAGCTTGGAAGCTTGACGAGAGACAGGGAGAGAGTAAGAGGGGGAAAAAAAACTGTCTGCCGTCTGGTGGTGACATCATGACAGCTTCTCTGAAACTCTGCAAACAGACACCCACCGGGGAACCTTGCACACCCATTCCTGCTCAGGGCGAGGTGGCGGTAGGTTTCGGGAGGGTATGCGGGTGAGAAAACCAGGCAGGGATAACAAGCTTTGGGAGACAGTGTGTTTGTTTTCTCCGCTGGCTCAACACTGAGAGCCAAAAGGCTGCATGTGGGAAACTGTGAGATGAACACAGACTCAAAGCTGTTTGTGCAGAGATCTGATCAGCTGGGGGTTCCTCAGTTCCTCAGGGCTGTAACACAGAGCCACTGAGTCGGAACATGTCTTACTGGGAGAAGGAATATTTGTTAGATCATTGGGTGTATTCGTCTAGTCAAAGCAGTGTTGCGGTTGAGTCACTTAATCTCACCGTCCGAGACGAGTTATGAGTTCCCAGTGTTCAAGTCTGAGCCACTGAAGAAGAGTCCCCGTCACCCGAGTCCGAGTCCGAGTCCGGGTCCGAGTCCGAGTCTGAGTCCGAGTCATCAACGTTGAGTCGAGTTCCAAGATGATCTATTTTGTTCTGTATTAGTTCATACTGTGGCAACAAGTTCACAGTTAAACCATATGAAGTTGACTGGAAAGCCCAAAGTAAATTCATACAGGAGAAATAGAGGCAATATTCAGAGACATGTATTCTTATAATATTTTAAGGCAGCGGCCTGAATCAAATCAAATTAATAAGCAGTTGTTGATATTCTTAATTAATTTTTGTTGGATTTTATGTTCTACTGTCGATATAATTCACATTTTTGAATGTTCAGATGTTCTGCTGTGCTAAAAATAATAGCAGACTGGAATCGGAAAAGCACCAATTGAACACTGTTTCATTTTCCTCTATAATTATTACCAAATTACAGATTCTCTCTTGGAAACTTCCTAAGAATTTACAGTTACGTAGTTAAGAAAAGTATTGGGCCCATAAAAGAAAGTGCTGCAGATGTTATTATCTTCTTATAAATCTACACAGTGTAAGAAATGCTACAATTGTCCCTCGAAAACTTAAACTTCCTACTATAAGTGACGGGATCCCACAAGAATACACTATTTTTAATTGTGCAAAAGTTGGTTATTTCACATTTCACGTAGTGGAATAATGTAACTGCCGTGTTCAAACAGGGCTTCCCACTACCCACACACATCTGACAGGATGCTTGTTGTTACACCACCCTACTTCAGTTGTTGTTGGAGCGCCACGCGTTTGTGCCTTCCCCATTACGCCTGTCCAAAGCCACGCCAGAAAACCACCAGCACATGTGGACATTGCATGGGATAAAAACCCTTCCCTGCGTGCCACATCTCTCATCATCGACCCCAATTTCCAACCCGCCAAATGAACCCACCCCACCCCCACTCCCCGCTCGCTCTCACACGGTGGTATTCTCTCAAACTCCCGGCCGATTCATGGCTGCAGAGCCTCACCAAAATACAATAACTGAGGCTGAGTGGTCGTCGGGGGCTGTCAGGAACGTCTAGGTGTCGCTGGACGGGACGACGGTGAAGGACAAGCTATCGAAAACTGTTAGCTCAGCATGTGATTACACTGAGGGAATTTGTTTTTACACCAAACACAGCGTGGCAGAGGCTCTGGCTGGGTCGAGAGTGTGGGTGGGTACAGCCAGGGGCTTTTTTGGCTGAGTTAGTGTTGGGGCTGGGGGGGTGGGGGGGGTGGGGGTGATGACACCTTCTCTCCAAGACGCTTCATGGGGCGTCTTGCTTAAGGGACCTCCTGCAAATTAAAGACAGCTGGCCTGGACAAAATATAGCTGAGTCTACACATATTAAACCATGTTCCTACAAAAGAAAAGACTCAGCAAGACATTTAACGACTGGACTTTGCAGATTACAGTCACCTGTGCTTAGATTTCAGTCTTTGACCAGCTCAAACTGCAGGATTGGTCATAAAATCAAATGTTTGATGCTGCGGACGATTTGCTAAACCCTTCCCACAAACTGCAGTTGTTCAGTCGTAGCTTAGCTTATCACGCTGAACAAAACATGTCAGTATCATAAACTTTTGTTTATCACAGAGTTTATTCTCTGCAATAATCAAAAAAGACAACTTTAAAATCCCATTGGCTTTTTGTCGAGCGAAGAAGGTTGATGATAACGTCCAGATCGGCCAACGAAAATACATCGATCCCAGAGGCACTCTGTAACCATCAGCGTCTCCAAACTTCTTGGATGGATCAATGGCCTGAAATGAGAAGCCTGCTTTTGTCTAACTCAAGGAATCAAGGAACCATTGTCTGAAGAATTTCAAGTGGTAAATCTGTCACAATTATCATAGTGAACTGCAGTACGTGCTGTGAGAGAGAGGAAAAGTCTGAGAGGCGAAGCAGCAACGACTGTGGGAGCCAGGGCTTAGCAATTTGTCAGTTGCGCTGACCACGACTGTTAGAAGGCAACACGCTACATTTGACCTCTAAACCTCCCCGGTGTGCACTGAATGCTCACCAAGTTGGTGTTGTGATCAGCTTCTTTTTTTTTTTCTGTTTGACTGTGTTCCCAGCTTAAAGCAGATATCTGTCTGATATATTGTCAGTGCTGAGGTGTGAAACAGTGAGCTGTGTTTCGGAGCTCTGAGGGCGTCTCTGCTGCGCATTCTTCTCCGGGACGACTCCAAAAACCCAGGAAGCAGAGGAGGAGGAGGAGGAGGAGGAGGAGGTGGAGGATGAGGCGGCTTCTGGCTTGAACAGCAAGGGGACCCATCGACGCCAATGTAACCAAGGAACAGTGGTAAGGCGTCTCTGTGTGTCTGTGTAGCTTTAACTCTGAATGTTTGTGTGTGTTTCTCGTTCAAACCTGAAACACAATAGTTGGTAATTA